ATCGTTTGGGTTTAGATCGGAAGGTTGGTGGTCAAGGGTCTTCCTCTGATATTAAAAAACTTAGCAAACCTTATGAACAAAATGCAAAAAGGTAACCTGTCAAGTCGCCGGGAGTAGAAAGTTATTTCGCCCGAAACCAATGTCATTACTTTACCCGAAATTTCATCATGTGTAATACACAGAGAGAAATAAAGTTGAGTAAAGCAGTGTGTGTAATATATCTCGTTCTTTAAGCGATTATGAGACGTAACAAACACGGTGAAGGTGCTTGATAATTCGTTCTTTAAGCCTTGATGCGACGAAACAAGACCAGTAAATAAGTAATAGGATGTTGATTTCGGGCGACTTTACGATAACTTTCGGGTGACATTACTCTTATTTCAGGCGAAATAACATCGGGCAACATGACTTTTGGGCGACTTGACCGTAAATCGCCAAAAGTAATTAGAGGACACTGTCATCTACTCTTGGCATTATGATTACGGTTATGTACCCTGTAAAAAAGTTTTACGGTCAACTCGCCACCAACGAAATCGCCACTAAGTCGACTCGCCACCAACGAATAACCCTGAAATAATTGACACAGTTTAATACCTAGGATTACTTACCTAAGATTTTTACTTTTTCTTCAAGCTCATTCGAATTTAAAGTCGAGCCAAATACAAATCTGTCGATCCTAATTGACAATCCTTGCGTCGAACGTCTTATGCTCTTGATAATGCAAATACTAAAAATACATGTATAGGTTCTGTGAATGTAAACTTTGACATTTGAGAGATTAAAAAACTGGCAGGAACGTTTCACAATTACTAGTCATTTCTTTGAAACATGAAAATAAAGTAACGGTTAAGAAAGTTTCTAAACAATGCTAAGCTAAGTTCTATTCTTAGTGGCAAGATGGTTTGGTGGCGAGGTGACCAGATACCGTAAGAAGACCTCGTAGTTTGGGATAAGCAAGCGAAATACGTTCTGAAAACTTAAAGGATACTAATTTGAAAACGTCTTTCCTTGCAGAGGGAAACTGTTCATAAATATTTTGACACCTAAATAACACTCCAATGAAAATGGAGCTGGTACAAACTTTTATCTTTTCAACCTTTCAGCGACAGAGGTGGTAACAAAGGAATACCTCGAGTACCTGCCTTTAGAAGTTCTGGAAGCTGGGATAAAATCGGTAAGTACACTTAAATTGAAACTGGTTATGGATAAAGCGCTTTACAGAAAAAAAAAACACCTTATTTTGCTTTAAATTGTTCAAAGCGGTTTATTCCTCTGGTAAACAAGAAAGTCCTTAAGATAAAAACATGACCAAAAGAATTGGATTTTTCTCTTTAAAATCCTCAGAAATAAATAGTTCTATGCAACAGGCCGACCAAAATGGGTTTTTTTTTTTAAAGTATAACACCTTAGGGGGATCTCGTCCACTGATTTTTTAACCTTAGTTAGACTGAGAAATGATCTCAAGAGAAGGGTTAAGCTCATATTTTCCCCACACAAAGAGTCTCGTTATGTATCACCTGGTCAAAAGGAATTGAGAAAATCTGAGTTTTTAGCAACAAAGGTTTGTTACAAGTACTGTTTACAAGAGGAAAGAGCCCTTCTAGTTACAAGAGGATACTAATAGCGGAGCTCTCGCGCGCAAAGCGCGCGCAGCGGAGTACCACGGGCAAGAAAATGAAGTAATCTACCCATCCGAGAAAATTTGGTAATCACGTGACGCGTACGCCCGCCCGCCCGACCGTCCGTCCGTACCACAGGCAAGCCGATGTAAAATAACTCAATCAACAGATATAATAACCCAAATGCAACTCGAGGTTATTTTGGCGGGGAATCGCACAGCCACCGGCGTCTTGTAAAGCAGAGACAACTAAAGAGTCAATAAAGACGAAAATAAAAAGCAGAAATTGGTTCTGTACCCGTTTTGTCTAAAGTATTAAGCTTAGATTGATTGTCATGTCCACAAATTTGGAATATAGAGCAAGAGAAAGACAGAGAAAAAGAGAAAGTAGGCGGCAGGCCAGCGAAGCTCGACGAGAAAAAGGGCGACAGAGATCTAGAGCGAGAGATTAAAAAAGGAGACATTTTTTGTTTGAAGATCAACATGAAAATTTTGTAGCGGCGGTGAGAAAATGAGAAATGCTAGCGGACACCAAGCAAATGCAAGGTGAAAATGAGCGGCAGTGAAAAAAAATGAACGAGAACACGTATGACATTTCCTCCATTAAAAGTGTAACTAAGAAGTTTCTGGAAGTTTCACGTTGTAGTCGTGCAAAACAACGGCAAAGAAATGTACAAAAAAAGTGTTTTGGCCGTGCAAAGTTGCTTTTTTGTTAATTAGACCTTAACCCTAACCCTAACCTAATTTTTACCGTTCTCCGGCGTTGCCTTCGCCGCTTAGCATTACACGATTTTATATTTTGTTTGAACGAACTTTAAATATTATCGAGAGCTTCGCTTTTAGCCCTGGCTAAATGTATATTTTAGAATTTCACTAAAACTGTATATAAGGTATACTACCCATTTGGCTCGAGCAATAAAAAAATTGAGTAAAACTTTAATCTAACTTACGGCCTACTATAATATGAGGCTGGTCTGCGAAATTTGAAGATGACGTAAGGTAGGAGTCCATTACAGTTTTTAAAAGTACCATCCCAGTCAGTCAATGGTTAGCCTTCTAGATTGAATATGTTGTTTATCCTTTGAATAGAGTTGAACAATTATGTTGTTGATTCCTATATCTATGTTTGTATCTTCTTTGTTCCACAATAATGAATATTGTATCTCTCGATTCATATATGTTATCGATTCTTATTTCTTATTTCGTTTTATTATTATTATGATAATGATGATGATAAAAATGATGATGATGATCAAGATGATGATAATGATGATGATGGCGATGGTGGTGGTGATGGTAGTGGTGATAATGATTTTGATGATTATGGTAGTGGTGGTGGTGGTGGTGATAATAATGATGCAGCATTATAAAACTGTTAAATGCTGAAAGTTGTAAAATGAGGTAGGGCGCAACACATAGCTTGCACTTTGTTCCGTGCCTGTTGGCGAAGCATGTGAATGAGTGGAAAAACAAAGTTTATATTCTGAATGATCTGGCTGCTTTCATAACCAGTTTTTATCTATGAATTCCTTTAGGGTCGCTTCTTGCAGGGCTGTCTTAATGTCAACAAACACTGCGCACAAGACGAGGCATTTGTCCAGAAGTCAGGGTACAGTACACGCTAGACAAAATTTGATAGCCCTTGTGATATTAACACCACCAAAACTCCATCAACTCATTTCAAAAATTTTCTTTAATATTTTTCTCTTTGTAGGGAGAGTACTTCAAGCAGCAAAGATTCCCTAGATTCAGATGTGTTAATCTGTGGCATGGCAAATAGGTATGATTGGGATGTTATAAAGTTTAATTTTACTTTGCGCTTAAACCCTATTAGGTTTAAGTAAACGTGAAACAGCTGATCAAGGGCTTAAGTGCCATTTCAATCTTTTAGGTTGTATCCTGAACAGACGCACAAGCGTTTTAGCTCTTGTCATACCCCACAGCTCCCAAACATTCCTGTCTAAAGCGTAGACATCGTGCGTGTCAGAGGTGTATAATATAGTATTCTTTCTTAAGAGCGAGCGGGTTTCTAAACGAAAACATGGACGAAGATCACTTGTATTTTCCCAAGGTCCTCCAACCTCTCGTTCTCGTTGTCTCCCATTGTCTCCCTTCTTTCCGCGGTTTCCAGACCCAGGGAACGAGGTCGAAGGTCGTTAAGTGACTCTCTGTCTTAACTGGCACCTTTAAAAAACTGACACCGTAAGTTGTTCCCTATCGCTCGGTAATTTTCGGCTTTCTCCTTAGTAAGACAGACACCTCAGCAGCGGAGGGAAAACATACGACCAGTTCCACCGGTGGGAGTTTTAAGAGAGCTCAGTGTATCAAGATAGAGCATTCAATGGAACTGGGATAGTTAAGCCTGAGAATAGAGCCGACTTTTCGTGACGCTGCCACTGTTTTTACCCGAGGAGCAAGTTCAGAAATTCCATACTGATGACGTATCACTACCAAGATCTGGGTAGTGCTTCAGATTGGATGAAACAAATTGAACCAATCAGAAGCTCAACCCAGAACTTGGTAATGACGCGTCATCAGTATGGAATTTCTGCGCTCGTTCCTAAGCCGTCATTTCGCGGGAATACTGCTGGTGGCGTCGCGAAATTTCGGCTTCTTCTCAGGAAAAAAAAAAATAAATGTAATTCTGTTTGGGAGTACGATTCCAGACGCAGTGCAATACTTACGTTACACCTCCAGGTTCATAATTTAATTGGGTTTGATACTTGTATGGTACTTGGTATGATACTCTATTACTATCAAGAATGGCTCAATGTTTGCTTTTAATCCTTGCCTTATTACTGACAAAGCTGCTGATGAATTCTTTCGGCTTATTACATAGAAATCGAGCGGTCCATGGTGATATTGTGGTGGTTGAATTGCTACATAAATCTCAGTGGAAGGGCAGATCTATTTCCCTTAAGAGCAAGGATCAAGGTAATGAAATAGTGAATGGTCTTCGGTACAGCTTGCTGCATTCAATGGCCTCTTGTTTTAAAGAAACTTGAACGGGCTAATAGAGCGTTTTCACATGACGTCATGTCCGCCATACTGGTGTACCAAAGCAATGAAACGGAGGCCATGTTGGTTTTACAGACCAATCCTCTGGGAGTAGAACCTTTTTCTCATGTAAAATCTCTCTTTTGTTCCAAAAATATGCATAGCTGCTGACCACGTGAGTGAAAATGCTCTATTAATAACCTGGGCCGGGTTTTTCAAAGCAGGGGTCAATTTACAGTGCAACCCCGCCTTACGGCCACCTCGATACTACGGTCACCTCGTTATTACGGCCACTATTATTTAGCCGCCTGGCAAAACGGCCAAACATTTTTTTGTAAAAAAAAACCCCCGTTGATACGGTCACCCGTTGATACGGCCAATTTTTTTGGCCCATTGGTGACCGTATCAACGCAGTTCCACAAAACTTTTACAAGTATAATTTATAAGTGTAGCTATTATTTTCGGACACTAAGACAATAGCTACACTTGCAAATTACACTTGTAAAAGTTTTATTCAATTGACCCCTGGGTGAAGGTAACCATTACCCAGGGTTAATGCCAAATTTAAACTCAGATATGAAAGCTTTACAAGCAAATTCAGTTGAATTCTTTTTGTTCACAATTAAATGATTGGATGCTCCAAAAGTAATGGAGAAAACGTTCCGAGAAAATGGTTCCGAACAAAAGACCAAGAAACGCGGAGTAAATTTTAACCCCCAGTTTAGTGTTAGCGCTCCTCCCCTCAGGAGGGGAGGAGCGCTGCGTGACGACACTAAAAACGGCTGTGTAGCAGACTAGCCTTCGAACAAATGGACCCTACTGTGCAGGCGTTCTCTGGGAGGTGGGAGAACTCTTGAAATCGCTTGTAAGTTGAATCCACTCAAGACACGGTAAACAGGTACTGAAATAGGGACGTGCGGGGAACCTTTTTACCTTTTATGCCAACCTTATTAAAATCACTTTCTATTACCCCCAGTTGTTTTTATGCAATGAGCTCTTAAAATCAAACGCGGGTGTGACTGTGGGGAATGACGAGCTCGCTCGGAAAGACGATTGTACCACAGGTGAACTTAAAAATCTCTGCATGGGAAGCTTTTTCTGTATTATCAATGGTTCCAATAATTAAAGAAGTACTGGGTTCTACATACTAGCCAGGCCAGGTGCTGTACAATAAACAAATGTTATAACTGGAAGGATGACAAAAGAGTGCTGCTTACAGCTCGGCCTAATTAGAGCACCTAAAAATATTTTGAAGAATGTCAAATACAAACCTTCACTTATCCGTAGGTGAACAACTGTCTGTTGGAGAGCAGAGTGATGTAATGCCTACTGGCCGTGTGGTTGGAATATTGCAAAGAAACTGGCGCGATTATGTTGCAAGTTTTGACGAGAACGAGGTACTGCTATGCTTAAACAAGTGAAGCTTTTTAAAAAAAGGATCTATGATGTGTCCCCTGTGTCCCTTGAGTCTCCTGTGTACCTTATGTCCCCTGTGTCCCTTGAGTCCCCTGTGCCCCTTGTGGTCCCTTGTGTCCCTTGTGTCCCCTATGTCCCCTGTGTCCTCTGTGTCTCTTGTGTCCCCTGTGTCGTTGTGTCCCTTGTGTCTCCCTGTGTCCATTGCATCCCTTGTGTCCCCTGTGTCCACTTGTGTCCCCTGTGTTCCTTGTGTTCCCTATGTCCTGTTGTGTCCCCTGTGTCCCTTGTGTTCCCTGTGTCCCCTTGTGTCCCTTGATCCCCTGTGTCCCTTGCGTCTCTTGTGTCCCCTGTGTCCCCTGCATCCCCTGTGTCCCCTTGTGTCCCTCCCTGTGTCCCCTGTGTCCCTTGTGTGCCCTGTGTCCCTTGCGTCCCTCATGTCCCTTGTGTCCCCTGTGCCCCCTGTGTCCCATGTGTCCCCTTGTGTCCCCTTGTGTCGCCTGTGTCCCCTTTTGTCCTCTGTGTCCTTTGTGTCCCTGTGTCCCCTTGTGTCCTTTGTGACCCCTGTGTCCCTTGTGTCCCCTGTGACCCTTTTGTCCCCTGTGTCCCTTTTGCCCCGTGTCCGTTTTGTCCTTGTCCCCTATATCCCCTTGTGTCCTCTGTGTCCCATGTATTGCTTTTGTCCCCAGTGTGATCCTGTGTCCCCTATGTCACTTGTGTACCATGTGTCCCCTGTGTTCCCTTGAATGATAATGTTAATAATTATGACGGTTATCATTTTATATTGTAATACACTGTAGCACTGTCGGTTTTCAAGTTGTTACTGTTCTTATTCTCAGTGCAGCCAGCTGAAGATGGAAGACAGGCACCTGGCTAAACCTGTTTTCTTTTAGTCAAATGACAGAATCCCGAGCGCGATTTAGTCCTATCTTTTGAGTTTTCGCTGGTCTGAAATTTCGTTCAATACTTCGACATTTTGGGACTAGCCTTAGCTTCTGGCTGACCTCCCTCCTTATTCCGCAGTAAACTTCCTAACTGAGAATTTAATTTGGTAAAAAGGGCATAGCATGTGTATTAAGTAAATATTCACATCACTTAAGATTATTATAACATTTTAGATTAGTTGCAATGTTATCGAATCGTACGCATGCTCCGCATCTTGAAGCTAAATGCTTTTTGGTCGTTTTTTTCTTTTGTTTTTTGTTTAGCACTTGCAGGGAACAAGAAAAATAGCGGGAAAGGTAAACGTGCAATGTTTGGCCACCCAGTGTCTTAAATGTTGTTACTTATATTGTAGCATTTACCTCAATTTCTTTAATTTTTCTACACGTACTTCGACGAGGTTTGTGCGGTTTTAAAACGTCCTTACTATTCTGGTCGCTTGGATAACTCGGCATGATATTTTTCTTTTTTTCAAAAAACTTACTTAAACAACTGCGTCGCGAAGTGGAAGTTAGGTGCCTGGAATATCCAGGAGCTTCCAATATTGGCAGCCAGCTGCTAGAAGGGACTGCTCCCATGGCTGGCAAGTCCTGCAACCCTTGAGCCATTAGCCCCCACTCGCAAGGGAAGAAAGCAGGCACCCACTGAGCAAGTCAGTGGAAAGAGGGAAGGGAGGGGGGGGGGGGCAAACCGCTAAAAATTGAGTCCCTACGAAAGTGAAACGTCAAGGCTGAATAAAGGCTCCCTTAAACTGCCCAAAAACTCCAAAACGCGAGAAAGCTAAAACGTACTTGGACATGCTACAACGCACACAACTCCAAGAGCATGTGGGATCTTGGTGTATGCGAATCTCGCAACACCTATGGCCAGCAAGATAACGTTTGTACTCCTTGTTGTTAAATCCGTTAAATAGCATTGAACTGCATGCTTTAATTAATTTCCTTACAGTTGAATGTTCTGTTCGACCCTTGTTGCATGAAATATACGTACAGCCTTGCGACACGCTTTACGGTTTCCTTAAAAAGCTTTGTTCTTTTTCAAGGTTGTTGTTGTGCCTTGGGATTACCGTATTCCGAAGATTCGAATCAGCACCAGACAAGTTGACAGTCTACGAGATCAAAGGTAAGTGAGGTGTTATCACTGAACGCGTACATCGTTTGACCAAACAAAAAAAACTCATCACTTCGCTAGTTACCGCCGCCTGGTTAGCTCAGATGGGAAAGCGCCAGTCTGCTGAGCTGTCCAGTGTGCTGTGTAAAAGCTATGTCAAGGTCGTTTTGTATGCTGTGTAAAAGCTGTGTCAAGGTCGTTCTGTATGCTGTGTAAAAGCTATGTCAAGGTCGTCTAGTATGCTATGTAAAACCTATGTCAAGGTCGTCCAGTGTGCTATGTAAAAGGTATGTCATGGTCGTTCTGTAGGCTATGTAAAAGCTATGTCAAGGTCGTCCAGTGTGCTATGTAAAAGCTGTGGCAAGGTCGTCTAGTATGCTGTGTAAAAGCTATGTCAAGGTCGTCTAGTATGCTATGTAAAAGCTATGTCAAGGTCGTCCAGTGTGCTATGTAAAAGGTATGTCATGGTCGTTCTGTAGGCTATGTAAAAGCTATGTCAAGGTCGTTCTGTAGGCTATGTAAAAGCTATGTCAAGGTCGTCTAGTATGCTATGTAAAAGCTATGTCAAGGTCGTCCAGTGTGCTATGTAAAAGGTATGTCATGGTCGTTCTGTAGGCTATGTAAAAGCTATGTCAAGGTCGTTCTGTAGGCTATGTAAAAGCTATGTCAAGGTCGTCCAGTGTGCTATGTAAAAGCTGTGGCAAGGTCGTCTAGTATGCTGTGTAAAAGCTATGTCAAGGTCATCCAATGTGCTATGTAAAAGCTATGTCAAGGTCGTTCTGTATGCTGTGTAAAAGCTATCTGAAGGTCGTCTAGTATGCTGTGTAAAAGCTATGTCAAGGTCGTCCAGTATGCTATGTAAAAGCTATGTCAAGGTCGTCTAGTATGCTGTGTAAAAGCTATGTCAAGGTCGTCCAGTGTGCTATGTAAAAGCTATGTCAAGGTCGTCCAGTGTGCTATGTAAAAGCTATGTCAAGGTCGTTCTGTATGCTGTGTAAAAGCTATCTCAAGGTCGTCTAGTATGCTGTGTAAAAGCTATGTCAAGGTCGTCCAGTATGCTGTGTAAAAGGTATGTCAAGGTCGTCCAGTATGCCATGTAAAAGGTATGTCAAGGTCGTCCAGTGTGCCATGTAAAAGCTATGTCAAGGTCGTCTAGTATGCTGTGTAAAAGCTATGTCAAGGTCGTCCAGTATGCTATGTAAAAGCTATGTCAAGGTCGTCCAGTATGCTATGTAAAAGCTATGTCAAGGTCGTCTAGTATGCTGTGTAAAAGCTATGTCAAGGTCGTCCAGTATGCTGTGTAAAAGCTATGTCACTGTCGTTCTATATGCTGTGTAAAAGCTATGTCAAGGTCGCCTAGTATGCTATGTAAAAGCTATGTCAAAGTCGTCCAGTGTGCTATGTAAAAGCTATGTCATGGTCGTTCTGTATGCTGTGTAAAAGCTATTTCAAGGTCGTCTAGTATGCTATGTAAAAGATATGTCAAGGTCGTCTAGTGTGCTGTGTAAAAGCTATGTCAAGGTCGTTCTGTATGCTGTGTAAAAGCTATGTCAAGGTCGTCCAGTGTGCTATGTAAAAGCTATGTCAAGGTCGTTCTGTATGCTATGTAAAAGCTATGTCAAGGTCGTCCAGTATGCTATGTAAAAGCTATGTCAAGGTCGTTCTGTATGCTATGTAAAAGCTATGTCAAGGTCGTTCTGTATGGTAAGTAAAAGCTATGTTAAGGTCATCCAGTATGCTATGTAAAAACTATGTCAAGGTCGTCTAGTATGCTGTGTAAAAGCTATGTCATGGTTGTCTAGTATGCGATGAAAAAGCTATGTTAAGCTAGTATACTACGATAAAGCTATTTCAGGGTGGTCTAGTTTGTAAAAGCTTTGGTAGGATATTCTTGTTTGGTACTAAAAGCTGTCTCAATGCTTTTTAACGTTATTCCACTTCTAGGTAGGAAGCTACTTAAAGTTTGTCTAGCTTGTTTATTTAAAGTCGTTATTTTTTTAAATCTAATTGAAGTAAGATTTGCCATGGGAAACTTATGGAAAGGTAGTCTACTTTGTAGAGTTATTTACGAAAAACTCGTATGTTCTTTAGCGTTTTAAACGATTTGGACTTCCTTGCCATTATGCTTGGGGCAAGGTAAAAGGGTCATAGTATAAATTCATCATAAAGTGATTTTCCTCTGTGCATAGAATCGTCGTGCGGATCGATTTTTGGGAAGTAGACTCCATGTACCCAAGTGGCCACTTTGTACGTTCCCTGGGCCCTATTGGTAACCTAGAAACAGAGATTCAAGCTCTGATGGTGGAGCATTCCCTGGCAGCGCCCTCCTTCACTGAAGCCCAGCTGAAGGAGCTTCCTAGCAACACACCAGAGAACCCCTGGGTAATGACTGAGGAGGAAATAGCAAAGAGGCGAGATCTACGGTATATCGTTATTAATAATAAAGCTCTTAGGTAACAAAACAAAGTTCTTTGACACAAAATATTGATATAAAATAGTCTATATTCTTTAAAGCCATATGAATTAACTACATGATAACAAAAGATTAAACGTTCAGTTCTGATTGCCGGAAGGATGAAGGGATTTTCTCTGTTCCGCAGCGATCTGGATCGTGTAGGTGGCAAAAGATCCACCAGTGGGCCATCAGTAGAACTAGTGACATCTTTTTCGCTCTATTTTAGCTCGTGGAACCCTACTGTAATTTAACTTCTCGAATAAAAAAGAGACCTAAAACCGAGAAGAAGAGAGATGTAGGAGTAGAACCACCTTTTGCAGCCCAAAACGCTTTACCACGCTATAAGTAAGTGAATGCTTCACTTACAGTTTTTCAGTTATTTCAGGTTAAAGGGTTCAGTCAAAAGCGAGAACCACTCTTTACACCTTAACAAACGTCAAAGTAAAGTAATGTTTATGTTTTCAGCTTAAGTCCACGCCACGATTTCGTATAGAGACAAAGTTTAAAGCTATAATGTGGAAGAAAAATGACTACCGTACAGTACTGTTACAGCTGTTATTAAAGGTTCATTCAAAATAATCAAAAAAGCCTCCAGTGCATTTTTCAACTAAATTTAAAGTTTGGCAGAAAAGTACAACTCAATAGACCTTATTCAATATATTCGCCAGCTTTACACGCGCTTTAGGATCGACGGGATGAAAAAAAAGGCACGTGGTATTTCAGGGGGCAAAAATAGTAATAATAACATTTGCTGATACGAGTAATCGCGGTCAAGTGTGTTTATTCTCAAAACGAGACGACGGTTTAATAGTCATGCAAAATGTACAGTTCGACTTTCGATAAGTTTTACGTCAATATTAGAGGGTATCACGTTTACGTTAAACGGCAAACGCGAATTTGTACAACGTGAGCAAGTTTCCCCTTTACTTGTCGTTTACTGTTCATTATTTCTACACATAAATAAGTAGTTTCACGCAATTTCTTATCCAAAGAATTTTTTGAGCTGTTTTTATCTGCTCATTTTCTATTTTGAGAAATTCTCAACTTGAATCTTACGTTTGCCGTTTGCCGTATACGTGAAGCTTAAACTCTCTATTGCTTGCTTTGAGGACATCTACTGTCGCTACTGCATCCAACAAAGTAACAACATTGCATTTCTTTTCGTTTTCTTATCTCGTTTATCCCATCAGTTGTTAAGCGCGTTCAAAGATGACCGGTATCGTGAATAAGGTCTATTTCACTCCTTCTGCGTAAGCAGGGGTTTTATCTGGACGTGTCAGGCCTGGTACAAAGAAGTAGGTTAACCTATTGTTGACACAGGTTGTGTAGAATACACTCGTACTTACCGTGTTGTGTTTTTCAGTAAATCACACCTTATCTTCAGTATTGATCCCAAGGGATGCGAGGATGTGGATGACACGTTGTCAGTTAGGTACTTTTGTTATCACTTCACTTGAATCTAGGCTAAACATTTTTAAGTAAGTCCATAGTTAATAAAGTGAAATGGTCACGAAGCCCATCAGACTTATCTGTTATATCTTTTTGTTAGCTTGTTTGGACATGACGGTATACAACGTTCAATCGTTTTGAACGAACTCACCAACACGAGAAACGCCTCATCAATGGAATATAGAGTAAACATTGTTAAATCAAATGTTTAGTTAAGGTATAAACCACTGCAAAAACCGTGTACGAACAATCTTGCTCAACGTCGGATCCAAAAAGATGGTTATAAGTTAAAATATAAAAATTGAAAACTTTACAGTCAAGAAGACTTTTGCAGGGACTGATCAAACAACGTGAAATAGACTTAAGTTGCGATATTTCGACTGGCCAATACCAGTCTTCATCAGGTTTATTGAGATATTACGAATTTACAGAAATATATATGAAGTAAAGTAATGACCGGAAATTACATAATATGACGTGGAATTAACTATTGTTAAATAATACCATGGTCAATAGAGTGCAATGGTTAAGAAGCCCGTTAGTCCTCTCTGCTATATCTTTTTGTTAGCTTTTTTCGACTTAAAGGTACAACGTTCAATTGCATTCCCATCATTTTGAACTAACTCACCAAAAGAAACGCCTCATTAATTTGCTCAGTCACAATTTCTGAGCCAAAAAAAAAAAGATCGCGCACGATCGCGGAGCTTCCAATATAAACCTCAGTCACCGTTGTTTTCTTTTGATTTTTGTCGGTCTTCATATATAATGGGGAATTTTTATTTTAAGACGGGGACGACTATGAAAACGAGATTTTCTCAATACTAAGTAGCGCGCGCGTCATTTTGGCGGGAAAACCTGATAGCCGTAGTCATTCTACTACCGTTTTTAGCGAGTCGTAGTGACGGAAACAAGTTATCAAATATTAGAACTTTTATCATTTTGCGATCACGAGAGGACTTAACCCCCGAAATAGGAATAACCGTAGTAACTAAAGTACAATGAGGCTTTCCGGGGTGTATATTTTTCAGAATACACGAAAAAACTTTTATTTAAATCTCCTCCTCGTCGGTTGTCGTCCTCACGCTCGAATCTAAAGGTCTCTAAGTATTCCCCTCTAGAAGCAATTTGTACTGGCAAAATTAACAAAGACAATCCAATGCCACCATAGATGCTGTCTCTACGATTCACAGAAGCACATTAGAAAATTGCATTCTAAGAAGTAACACAATAAGGAAATCACACATACTGTTCTTTGGTTGCTGGTACACTTCGACGTAACGGCATGTCAATCTTCAAGCATTCTTAGGCCACTTTTGCTGTGACTTTTTTGTAGCTTCGGATTAGGAACCAGCAGAAGCCTCTAGGGTTGTATGCTTCAGGAACCAGTCTCTGTAGCGTCATCTATGTTTCGTCCCGTATGACGTTTCAGTATAAAGTTTCTGGAACATTAATATCAGTTTTCTTTTTGCGAACTAAGGCCTAGGCCAAACGTCGAACTTTTCATGAGACGAACCAAACTCTAATTTGGGTCGACCTAAATTATTAAGATCGTCTGTTGGGTCAGACGTCGAACTTAGGAAGTATCGAACCAATCAACTGAATGAGATCAGTAATAAATTTTCTCTCAACGAGGCTAAATTACATTATCATACAAATTTTTAATTTATTAGTTTAGTTCGTCGCATGTGAAGAGCAACGTTTGTCCCGAAGACGATCTTCAGACGTTCTGTCCGTCTGAAGCAGACGGGTAGAACGTGTTGGACGATCCAAACTCATTCAGACGTACTTAACTCACGAAGTTAGGTTCGTCTCATGAAAAGTTCGACGTTTAGCCTAGGCCTAAGACTGCTATCACCCTCGTATCACACTTGTATTGTAAACAAAATATGTAGTTTATCTTACTTTGTGTCATTACGTACCGTCTTTTCCAAAGGTGGCTAAAACGTGACCAGATAGAACTTGGAGTCCACATAGCGGATGTGTCTCATTTCGTTAAGCCAGGATCGCTAACGGACGCTGAAGCAAGGTCCAGGTATTAATACATACATACAACATACATAATCTTATTTGCCTGGACAAACTAAAAAGTAAAATTATAAAAGCGAATACCGAAGGCACATGATGCCGTATAGTGATACATGCAGCATTTTTTTTTTCCATAGGTCTACTACAGTGTATTTGGCAGATAGACGATTTGATATGTTACCAGAAGTGCTCAGTGCCGACCTGTGTTCATTAATTGGTGGCGTAGATAGGTAAATCTTTAGGTTTTCATATTGAACGGGGTTAAACAAGAGAATGGAATCCGAAAAATAGGTAAAAGGGATTAAGGTCATCGTTTTTCTATGTATAAAGGTTGAACATTTAGTTATAAAGTTGTATAAAATTATGAGAGTTTGAAAACGCATACGTCGGGAGTGGCAGGCTCCGCCTTCCTGGGTTTTGTAGTTAAAAGGACAGATACGGGCCTGCAGTGTTATATAATTGGTGCAAGCTTCTACGTTGTCCCTGCAAAGGCGGGGGAACATAATAAAATAAAGGATCCAATTTTATTTTCAGGAAGAAAATGAAAATTCGTCTTCGCGTGTGTTTGCGTCCACCATAAAAGGACTCATCAGGAAGTTTTTCGTCTGAGTCGCACAGTGGGCGTCCAAGAAATGTACCAATAAGTGTGATGTACGTGCAGAGCGGTTATTTTGCCTACACGAACACATACAAAATGTTGTCGTCGTTGCCGTTGGCGCCGTTGTTGCTTAAGCTATCAGCTGGGTCGCTGTCTCAGCTTTCCTTGAATTCAGACTAGGAGGGTTGTCCTGGCCATTTGACGTAAACTTACAACTGTTTGAAGCAAACACCTCGTACTAAAAATGTGTAGTGGCTTGTGCCACACTTACCCAAATAGAGCATACTGCAGTGAGCCTCCATAAGGCAGTGTCAAATTCACTGACAGAACTTAATGGGCCAGTTATTTAAACGGTCTAACTTAGGCCGCGGTTCCAGATCTCTTTCTTTGCGGGTTAATTTAGGAAAATAAGTGGCTTTCCAATCTGCAATATATACTTTATTGAAATTGTTCACGATAAATCTAGTTAAAAACGTCGGGCAAACCGAAAATGTTAAACACGGGCTAAAAGTCCGTTTAAATAACTGGCCCAATTCACTGTATGTTTGCCTTTAGATACACTGTAAGTGTACTTTGGGTTTTGGATAAGGACTACAATGTTCTCAAGACCTGGTTTGGACGTACTGTCATTCGTTCTTCCTACAAACTATTTTACGAGGTACGGTCAGGATAGGAGACATCACTGTTTACCACCCTTTTTTTTTGTTATTCAAATTTGTGACGAGTGAAACGACAGAATATTTTGTTGTAAGTACCAATGCGCTTCTTGTTAGCATATTGATACAAATGGGTGACTTCAGCTCGAGTAACGGGGAGAGGTCGTTTATGTGTGATGCTTACGACGAATGCGTCTGATGTCTGATGAAGTTTAGCGTTGATGTCGTTTTTTGTCAAATAATTAATACGTTGCATCAGTCAAGTTTCAAGTTTATTGATTTGCCACCAAACAATTTTAACGTGTAACTGGGGTCTTTTTATATACTACTGTTAAGAGGTAAAGATCTTAATACTATTAGTTTGATTGAACGAAAATTTATTCACCATTTGTTTGTTTGTTTGCTTGTTTATTATTTTTTAATGAATTCAAGGCAGCTCAGGCTATTGCCGATGGAGAGACCACAGAGGAGGATCTCATTAATGACATACCAGAGTTACAGAACGTGGAGGTCAAAATAGCCTCAAAAAGGTGTGACATGCCATTTTTTTGCATATATCTCTTATCCCTACGCATAGGTATTTTTAGTTCATCTCTCTACTCTCCAAATGACAGATTGGAAGACACTGCTGTACTGAGCAAGGTTATCCTTTTGGCGCTATTTGCCGTAGAACTTGCGTTACGCTGACACAAACCCCAAGTCCACAGACCTATCGACGCAAATTGCCTAGTAGTGCTGGAAAGCTCATGGATTTAATTCCGCTGGTGACTCTTATGGAACGCTGTTCTAAACCTGTTGTTGAACTTTACTGACAAATTAAACACGGCTTAAAAACGGCACATGATGATGATCTAGTTAAGTGCGGCATGCAACGTTAAGTTCTGCTTCTGCGCTATCTTTCATTGCAGCAGTAGTTGATAGGGCTATGGACAGAAATGTTTAGCGTGAAGATCTGAGATAAGAATGAAATGTTTTGTGAGCATGGAGCTTGCACTGTCAGACAAACTGCACCGGAATATTTAAATGATCCTCTACCTTTTTCTACTAGCATTTGGGTGAATGAGAAACCATCTCTTTGTGATGATGAAAGTAGTTACGCATAGAAACTCTACAAAGTTTCCGTGGATTATTCGGAGTTTTCAGCATTTCCCATTCAAATCGTAACTTCTCTTTTTCCACAACCTTAGACATCTTTCGTCCATCTTCCTTCATTACAAACATTCTGAAAATTGTTTTAAAAAAATTTTGCCAAGCACTGCGAGCTATTTAAGATCAAATAAAATCTCGGCAAGATTTTAAAGTAAAAGTGATGTAAAAGTAAAATATCCGAAAAACAGGCTTTTGATCTAATTGTATCGTTAAAGAAACGGCTAGAAACTACCTCTTTGTCCTCAGAGCAATTTGATTCTCGTCTGTATTTATATTTGTAGATATTCTTTTGTTTTTCTTCTGGAGCTGTTCTTTTATTTTATTCTATCATCATTATCGTTATCATAATCATTCTTTTCTTTTTTAAGATTATCTGAAATTCGCAGATCGGTGCTGAAACTCATGGATATAGCAAGAGTGATTAAAGCTAGAAGAACTGTTCATGGTGAGTTGTTTGCTTTGTGATTAAAACTCCCCTCTCTTCAAGACTGCAAAACAATTATCGTATTTTGGCGTTGTCAAGTAGAAGGTTTAGAGCGAACGTGAAAGCAGGGAATGGAAGTGGGGAAAGAAGTACAATTTCGGCATTTCGCACCTTAACGGAAAGAAACTGATCGTTTTGCGTTTCTTAAAATAGGAATAGCTATTTTTACGATGACGCCATGTTAATCCAAATCCTAGAATTCATTTCCTCTTTACTTTCTTTTTCCAATCTAGCAATCTCGCTGAGGTTTAAGTACTGATCCGTACAATTCCCACAAGATTGAACGAAAGACATGAGGGATTCTACTTTTTCAGAAAAATGATATCATTTTGAAAGTGACTTATTTCAGTAAAGAGCGCACATCACATATTATTTTTTTTCGTTGTTTCCTTTCTTTGGGAGGCAGCGTGGCCGAGTGGTTAGAGCGGAGGCCCCAAGTTCAAGTCCCGCTCTGACCGCTAGCTGGATTTGTTCACGGTAGTCCCAAGTTCAAATCCTCCACCACGCTTGTAAATAGCCAGCTGATTTGCCTCCGGCCAGTTGGGATTCTGAATCCTGTTAAGTTTGATTTAGATTATTTGTTACTGGCATTTGCTGGCCCCACTAGCATTAGTGCTATAAATACTGCCGAGGGCAAATAACGGAATAATAATAATTATTATTATCATTATGATTATAATAATAATAATTATTATTATTATTATTATTATTATTATTACTATTAATATCATCATCATTATCATTATTCTTATTCTTTCTTTTCTTTCTTTTTCTTTTATTCTTGTAATAAGGTGCCCTGGAACTAGAGGGTGTAGAAGTTCAAGTCCAAATTGGCGATAAAAAGGATATAAAGAATTTGATTCCTAAAAAGGTAAGCAAGGTTATCATGCCTCAAAGAATTGCACCCCGGGTTGAATGATTCGAGTGAAAAAGAATCTAAAACCTCGGTTTAGAAGCAGTAATAAAAACGCACAGAACCGAGCATGGTCTGTTCTCTTTAGGCATGTAGCAGAATTTAAGCCTCTAGTGTTTCGTTATATTGTCACTTAAAGACAAAGGCCCTGAGAATAATAAGTCAAAATGTTCTCCAAAGATATTACCTTGACTTTTAAGCAAATTATTCTGACTAGTTAGGGACGTTCGTGCCTCTCTTCTCAATGATACGGACACCGTTTTATAAAGGACTGTTCTTGAGGTCCCAAAGATACCGTTACCGTACAGGCATCTCTTTTTTACGGAAAATTGTCTTGCTCCCAAGGAGTCCAAGCTTAATATAACTCTTATTTTCTGGGCCCTCTATTAAGGACTATTCCCTTAGCCCCAAAGATACTGAACCTTATACAGTTCCTGACACCATAATACGAACTAGCGTCTTTATTTGGGGCAGTCCTCTTGGTGCCAAAGACACTAATCATCATGCAATGCCTATCTCCATAATGCAGACACCTTTATTACCGACAGTTTTCTTGGTCCCAAGAAACCAAACTTAACAATACGTCGGACACCTATGTAAAGCGGACGCCTGACTGTGATTCTTTGATACCCGTATTGAGGAGGTTTGAGTAATTGAAGTTATGTGTACTGCACATCAAAACTGACTATGTAAATTGCGTCTATTTCATTCAAAACTCTGAACTCGAAAGTCGAGGTGTTTTTCAGTGGCGGATGTTGCATTGTGTATTCTGTGTATTCCGTTTCTAGCTTTCAACAAGAGAATTTGAAAGTGGATTGATAGAATTTTATATATTTGAGGGGGAGAAAGAGTCAACACACAAAAAACGGCTTGGAAACTAAAATTTCGAGGACGTTTTTGGACTTTTTACATTCAGGGCATGAATTTTTCGTCATTTCAGGCCATGGAACCTCAAAATGAGCCTAGCTAGCTGTAAAAAGGGGCAATACGGAGGAAATGCGTCCTAGCCGGCATGATCACATGCTGTTTACGGAAAATTCTCTCATCCATGTCAGGAAATTCTGTATTTTAAAGCCTCCCCTAGGGCATGACTCAGCAACTAAGGACATTTCTGCTACGTTTTCAATGTTGGTTAGTAGTCAGGAAGCAGTGTCACGCAGGGCGCTCATTTTTCATTTTCGCTAAACATTTTGAGTAGAAGTAGGCAACATGCCTTAAAATCTTCATCTTGCCATCCTGATTAAGAATTGCGCTGTTGCCCACTCCAAATGTTATGATATCTGTCATTAAGCAGGTTTTTTGTCTAGGCCCTCACTCTTGCAGCATGAAAACGAGGCTGAACTGTAACATTTATATAAACCCAATAAAAAGTGCACAATACGATGGGGAAATAGCTGAATCTTTATTACTTGATGTTTAGAGCTCGATAAACAGTAGTGTGGGAGATAAAATGCGTCACGTGATCAGTTATGAAGAGTCACGTGACTTTCCAATAAAATCGACTCTAAAGCATAAAAGACGTTTCTCATTTCGATTTACAGATCCAACAATAAAAACACAAAAGTGCAATAGGTGATCAGCTATAATGGGTCACGTGACTAGATAGCAACCATTGAATAGATACTGAATTAGCCTTAGCTGTGTGAATAGCGTGATTGATTAATTGTTTCAGTAAGCTCTTCAGGAATTATTTTCTATTAGAAATAAAAAAAACTTTGTTTCATGGGGTAAATATCTGCTTCAATCTGTCGGAAACGTTGGTAACTAAGTTTACGACTGGGAACGACGATGATGCATTAGTAGATGCCCCGACTAGCAATGAGCTTGTTAATGAAGTTGGACAAGCTGCACGTATCATCAAAGCTTTTGATGCCGCACATCATGACAACCTCTCGTTGTTACTGGAGACAATACATGAAACTGGTGTTCATCTTACTGAGGTTTACGCGTGCGATCCGGGAAGGGAAGTGGGATCTGTCTTTACTGCGCGCAATGTTTTGCTGTGTCCGAGCCTTTAGGGTGTTTATCTGGCTCAATCAAGTAGTTGATCTCTCTTCGTTCTCCGAAATGCTACCCTATTTTGCAGCTTTCGACCACTCGAATTACACCAGATGGGGCGTCATATTTCTTGCAGACATGAAGATGCTTTCGCAGACTGCCCCTGAGGTCTAGCCTCCTCCGCAGACATTCTTAGGCGTGCGTCACGGAAGGAACGCGTGACGCACGCCTAAGAATGTCTGCGGGGGAGGCTATACAAGGGTTGACCTGCTATTTGACAGATATGTCAAGAACTCAATAAAAGGAGGAACCAGAGACAAGCGCAAGGACAAAAAGAGTACAGGGATTAGGCGCAATTTGGATAACAGATATTAGGGAATTGGAAACTGGGAAAGGTTCATCATTCTAGAAGATAACAAGACTAGCCTACCTCATTTCCTCTCGACTGAAATCTCGGAGAGTTACAGCGCGCCTCCTGGGCGAGAGCTGGTGATCAATGGAGGCTTCAAGGATACATACTGAAGGTGTGGTCATCTGACACATCACGACAAGATATAAGAGAGCTCTCATCAGATCATGAGGAGGCAGATACTAGAATAGTACTGCATGCCCGAGACGTAGCAGCAAGAGGGTACAAGCAAGTCAACATTTTGTGTCGTGATACGGACGTTCTTGTCCTCCTTTTGGCACACCGAGAGCAGCTTTGTCAAGAGATATGGATGTTTGCGGGTACATCAAGACAAAGGCGTTACATACCAGTTCACAGAATCCCGCTCTCCGAGGAGAAGAGGAAGTCGCCTCTGGCATTTCATGCCATTACTGGCTGTGATTCGACAAGCCAGTTCTATGGTGTGGGCAAGACTTCGGCATGGAAAGTCTTCGAAGATGCACCTGACCTCTTGGAACACCATGGAGAAGAAAGCCAAATCAGTGCTGACGTTCTTGCCAAAGCTCAAGCCTTTGTATGCAAACTCTACATCCGGGAACACAAGAGGTGGGAAATCAACAAAGAAAGAGCAGCAGCGTTTCGCAAATCCAAGAAAGATCTCGACGCCCTACCTCCGACTCAAGATGCACTGATTCTCCACACAAAGCGGGCAAACTATCAGACCATCGTATGGAATAAAGCGCTGGAACCATGTCCTTCTCTCCCAAAGCCTGAAGACAGCGGATGGTACTACAGTGAAGGCCTTCTGAAGCCAAAGTTAATGACACGAGAAGAAGTGTCAGAGGCGTGTTTACAGTTAGCATACTGTGAGTGCTCCCGAGAAGGCGGATGCTGTGTAAACCGACGCTGCACTTGCGTTAAACTATCTCTTTGCTGTTCCAAGGCATGTAAATGTGGCGACAGGTGCAGAAACGACAGGAACACTGCAGCAGAGGCGAATGAAGCATGACCTATAACTTTGATAAGGTGGAAGTCACATGGTGGTCTTGTGTAATATAAGATACTTTGCTTATGGTTTATAAGCTTGTATTTCTGGCTTAAACCGTGCGGCCAAGTAGAAGAAAGTTCAGTCTTTTTACATGAAAAATCCTAACTCATGGGAAATGTTACATAGGTTGGAAACGCTACAGAATGACTGAAAATAGAATGATTTCATTACAACACGTGACCCATCATAGCTGATCACCTATTGCATTTTTGTGTTTTTATTGTTGGATCTGTAAATCGAAAAGAGAAACGAAAGTAAGTTGAAAACTTTATTAAAGGAAAGTGTGAATAGAGCGTCTTTTATGCTTTAAAATCGATTTTATTGGAAAGTCACGTGACTCTTCATAACTGATCACGTGACGCATTTTATCTCCCACACTACTGTCTATCGAGCTCTAAACGTCAAGTAACAAAGATTCAGCTATTTCCCCATCGTATTGTGCACTTTTTATTGGGTTTATATAAATGTTACGGTTCAGCCTCGTTTTCATGCTGCAAGAGCGAGGGCCTAGACAAAAAACCTGCTTAATGACAGATATCATAACATTTGGAGTGGGCAACAGCACAATTCTTAATTAGGATGGCAAGACGAAGATTTTAAGCTATGTTGCCTGCTTCTACTCAAAATGTTTAGCGAAAATCGTTTTTTGGCGAGCTGCCTCCTGACTATAGCATGCAAGGATTTTTCCCATGCCTATCGTCAATGATTTGCTCACTGGTAATAGAGGGGGTGGCCCCAGGGTGGTTTTGCATTGAAATTGGCATGCAACAGAATTTCGCATGCCCTGTAAGCACAATTTGAGGTTCTGTGACCTTCTCACCCAGGCCGCGAGAAGCCTAGGTTCTAGTAATAAGTAATTCATACCCAGCAAAATCTCCGGCATGCCGGGCATGCCACATTCTCTGACATGCCCGGCATGACAAATTCTCTAGCATGCCGGGCGTGCCATAATCTGGGTCATGCCGGGCATGCCAAAATCGGTCTCTGGCATGCTCTCAACGCACAGGTTATAATTCCTTGAATCTACAGATATTTTAAGCCTGGCTAAAAAAAAAACTAAACAGATCACCGTGCTTATCTTTTGATGTACGGTTACACGATGACGTCATTGCTATTCCATTTGGTTGTCCCAGCGAGGTTTAAATAACAAAAGCTCTAATTTTCACAAGAAAGTAAAACTCTGAGGGATTCTGCCGTAGTAATAAAACAGCGTCATCGTGGAGATGACCTGTTGGGGGATTGTAAAAACTCCTCACCCCTTTTAATGAGTCTTTAATAGGATTCCCATTTCACATTGCGAATAAAATGGAATTGACTGAAATCAGTAAATAGAGAAAGAGACACTATTTTCATTGTATAATAAAATGCGTCTATGTTCCGTGAAAGCTTTTAAAAATACAAGGTTATAGAATATCTTTCAAAGTTCATTACAAACTGAGCTAAGCCCCAAAATCATTGTTCATTATTCAGTAAATTATGATGTTTGACAATGCAATGTGCTTGAATATAACGTTGCAATTACAAATCTCTCTAAAGCAAATTTCCCTACGTTAGAAAAGCTGTTTTTATCTTGTTTCACATTTTGATAAGGAGTCTGAGTTCCTCTTTCTTGTTTTGTAGGCTTGCCTGGGATTGTTGTTTTTGTGTCATTACTAGTGTCTGTTTTCTCTGTTTTTAACTCAAAGTAAGTCAGTAATAACTGACAGTATCAAAGAATTGCTCTCTAGAAAAGTAATTATCTCCTCGTCATGTCTGGAAGTTACCTGTAACAAAAAAGAAATGGAATGTTAACACATGCAAGGGCAATATGAGAAAAAAGAAAAAGAACATGTAGAGCTCAGCTTCTCTTAACATATTTTCATACTGGCTTGTTGAGTCTGTTAAAGGTCACAACTAATTGTCTGAGGCTAATTTCACAAGAGTGTGCAATTGAGATAAATGCATGGTAAATAAAGTGAAAGAAACGTGGTTTCACATTAGCCAATTTACATTGCGTTGTTCGATGATGTTTACACGCTCTTCTACTGCGAAATAAACCTTTGCATTTGGATTTGCAAGTCAAGATTATACCGAGTTTGCTGGCTTAATTGAACAACAGTTTCATTTTTAAGCAGGTAAGGTGTAGACCCATATAAAGCCGAAATATGTAAAGGAAACTCAGCGAAAACTTTTTCGCATCTTTTTTCTGGCGATATTCTCTCACGGCCCGTCAACTGATTAGGGGATGCGAAAAAAAAATAAATTAGGACCAAAGGTTAAAGCCTGTCCGGTTACACCATTTGGTATGTTACCTAGAGTTCTAATAAATAGGTCATAAAATAGGATTTAACGAGAGCGAATTTGTTTCTCAATCGGTGTATAAAAAAGTGAAGCTATCAAATGAGAAGTTTATAGAGTATCAAAATTATTAAAGTAAAAGCTCATATAATTAGGAAAATTCCTATACGAAAACAATGCTAGTGACATTAAATTGATAAGATAAAATTCTGAGAAAATATGTCGAATAAAAGCCTCATTGTTTGCTTTTGTTTTTGCGTAAAGGTAAATTTTTCGGCCCACAAAGCAAAGTTGAAAAAGCGACTAAATCTTAGTTTTTTACATTGAACATGTTTATTAGCTTAGTTTTCGTCCGTTTTAAAAGCTTTATAACCCAGTCATAATTTTCGGGTTAAAATAGTACAAAATCATTTCAAAAACCATGTTCATTTAAAGTAGAGCCAGCAAACGTGAACATTTTGTAATTCAAAAGTCGGACCCAGCCAGGTTGTTTAAGCTTAGAATTATTTGCATTTTAGCGTCCTATAAATTTACCAGAATCGCCTCTCAGAGGCTTACTGTAGCAAAGCATTTTGTAGTACACTCGTAGACAAGCAATGTAGGCCTTAAGTCTTTACTTGGATGAGATGTCCAAAAGAAAAATTAGTTTTGTGGACCTAAACGCACATTCACAGACTGCTTATATTGAGTTGTTTACAACTTTGCATTGACACCTGCAGCATGTTCATTTTTATAAAGCGAAATCCAAATCTGATTTTGCCATTTGATTTACGGATATTTTATTTTGTCTCCAAAAGTGATTGTAATATCCGTTTGATTGTCTTTCGAACAACAGTCAAACTATGCAGCAAAAATAAGTAACTTTACCAGTACAGTGAAAAAATATGACCGTAGGTGCCAAAAATAATTATACTCGAGCTATAAAATTAGATCTGACTTTTTTTAGCTTTGGTTTCTTTATTTTTGAGGTTTTCTCTAGTCTTCTTAGCAGCAGAAGAAGATTACAAGACATACAAACAGAAACAATCCGAAGTGAACGAGTTGACAACCACTTATGACACTTTTGCCGGAGTTCTTAGGCATGCTCAACAGTAAGATAAACTGAATGCCAAAAGACTAATTCACGGGATTTGTTCGATATTCAGGCTTTTTCTTTACCAAATTAATACTAAATTTGTACTTACAGTCTCTCGCAGAATCCATTTCTTGTCCAGCTTTCACCAACATCTCAACCATGCACCGCAGAAAAAAAAAGACAAACAAATGCGAAGAGACATGACGACATCGTGACGCCACAACTGCCACGCTACAACAAACTAGATTCATCGTCATCCGAAAACACTTCTGCGGAAATTCGGCCGATTTCGTGCGTGCTCGGGGTATCTTCGGATGACGCAGATGACGTTGCTCAAAGGACTATCGTCAGCAAGGACTAAAACAGTTTGCGAGATTCGCATAGCCGACAAGGAGCGCACTGAAAAACTAAGCAAAATCTCTCTGAGAAGGCAGTCCAAATTCACCAGATCAGAACGTCTTTGCAGTATTAACGTCGTACTCTCGTACTGACTTGAACGACCTGGTAAGCTTAATTTTCACCAGTCTTTTATGCTGTTGACCAGGAAACATTCCGACGCGATAAAACCTAAGCATGGATAAGTTTATACTGAGAAGATTTGTTATCTTATTGTTTAAGACGCTTTTCCGCGATCAACTTTAAATCTGGACCCAGAAATGTCAATATCGGTTTGAAATAAAAGGATTAATCTTTGATTGCAAGTTATGTATTCTATTTTATGCATGAATAATGTTGTTTTGTTGAACTTTTTATTTATAAATCCAGGCTTCTGTCTTCAGTTTTGCCAGTCGATCCCGTGACACACATTGTGACAAACATGACTTTTTTTGTTATAATCTGCATTTATTGCCAGGCATGAAACCTGTAACTTTAAGCTCCCTAAGATATATTTGGCGATTATATGTGATTCTCAGGATATGATGCTCAAGCGAACATCAAAATCAGTCTCGCTGGGCATGCCAATTTCTTGCCTGTCATGCCGGGCATGCCAAACCAAGTGGCTTCATCATCGGCATGCCCGGCATGCCAAACCAGAGGAGCAAAAACTGGGAATGAATTATCAACCCGGTGAGAGATCTGGGACCTAAGTTTAGCTGGGTCAATTTTGGGCTGCGAGGGCATGAATCCATTTTTTCCATGCCTATGAGATGTTATTTCTAAGTACCAATGTTCCCTTGAATTTTGTCATGCCTAAATATATAAAATTTTCCCTCTCTCATTAATCCTCAGACTGGATGCGATTTTTACGCTCGCTAGGCAAGTTCAACTGAAAATCATGCCCATACCCTTATTCAAAACAAAATGCTATCAAATTTTAGTTTCCAAGCCGTTAAAAGATCAAAAGGTCAGAAAAATATACCCGGATTAAAATTTAACTCTGGGTTAGCGCTAATCGGCCTTCGAAGACTGATTCCTGGAGATAAGGATTGCCGGATCCTTTTGTCACCGGCAATTGCTCTTGCCGCTTTGCTTACTTTTATTTGAAACGCTATAATCTGGCCTTCTCTTTGTTTTTCAGCCCTTAGAAATCCATGAAACGGTTGCAGAATGTATGATATTCGCCAATCACTGGGTTGCAAAGAAGATTGCTGAAAGGTTTGCCAATGCGGCTTTGGTAAGAATCCTTCAAATATGATTTGCCAAACAATTACTGCAAAACAAAATGGAAGACTAAGGGCGATGTTTGTTTGACCGTGAAATGAATGCGCCTGAGCAAAACTAAAACAACAAACGAACAAGAATATTCTTGGTTTGCAACCACGTGACATGGCAGCCATGTCCGCTTACGGCCATGTCGGTGGTCAATACAATTAAAAATATTCAGAGAATTTATATAGTTCCCAGAGGATAGAGATGTATGTATGGTAAGATCCTCTCTGTATCAGTCTTCCAGTCCAATTCGTGGTTTTACCATGTAATTATAAGTAGCTCATTCTTTTGAACCTCACATTGTTTCACATAAACCTTGTGCTGGCCTATCAAGACTAAACTGCAGTAAAAACTCTGCTGTCGACTACCTTCCATCAGCGATCACTTAGTCATGGTCGCAGTTGGACAATTTTTCTTGTTTGAAAAGTACTGACCGGAGGTTCGAGTTTTTACATGTCAAGTTTTAGCAGGCCAGGTAGAGAAAGGAGGTTTCTTATCAATTACCTGTAAGTTCTCGTCTATGTTTGGAAAAAGTGGCATACAAAGTAACAGTGTTTTAAACTTTTCTTTCTTTCTCTCTCTCTCTCTCTTTTTAGTTGCGTCATCATCCGTTACCAAGGAAACAACATTTCGCAAACCTCGTTCACTGTGCAGCTTCTAAAGGATTTTCAATTAATACAAAGTAATGTGCCTCTTTCGTAATAAACTGTTTCTAGTATAATTGGAAAATGCCCCGGAAAATAAAATTAGAAAAACGAAAAAAACAAATTGGACTAGAAGCCAAGCAGTCCATAAGTTCGATTTCCAACAGAAATTATAAAAAATATTGTGTCCCCTCTACATGTCGTTGTTTGTTCATATGTTTGTATTTCTTTTTCTCTTTCTCAAGTTTTTCTTTTTTGCACATTAACGCCGAGTTTTGTTTTTATTCTTAAGTGTGGTTTTATGATGAATAATTATGAGTTGTCTCAAAATGTGTTCAGACGATCGAGGTGGTCATACGCAAAATCCGGGCCATTTCTGCTATTACGGTAGATCTGTATTTAACAATTATTCCTCGAGCCTGAATTGGTTCTGAGTCAATAGCCCATGAGGCCGAAGGCCGAATGGACTATTGACTCAGAGGCCATGAGGGCGAGAGGAATAATTGTTTTAGTAAAATCCAACTAGTTGGTCAAAAATATCGAGAATAAAAATCTTTTAGCTAGTTAAACCTAGACTTTAATCCTTTTTGCCACCAAAAATGCGGCGTTTTTCGCGACTAGTGGGCTATTACATATAGCCTAGTAGTAGCTCAACCAATCAGAACGCAGCATTGATGATAGACCACTAGTTGGATTTTACTGATTAGATTTAGCCAAAGCTAGAAGCAGAGCTCTTATTAGTCTTCTTTAAATGCTTATCGTTAACGTCAAGTAATAAACTTGGAACCACGCCAAAGAAATCCACCTATCCTCACTTAACTTGAGGTAGGGGTTGGGTAATTTTAGAAAACGAAAAATCTGCAAACAAACCTCAAACAAGCAATAGTCTTGTCGAAACACCATATTGCGATGCGGGGTGGAACGGGACGATCCGGTCCGAATGGGGGCGTATAATCGCCCCTGTAGTCTCGAACGTCCCACTTGTCCAACGACTTTCCGGACGATTATGTGAAAACCTGAGACTAAAAGTTTACATTTATGTGCTCTTTCACGAGTTCTACCGTCTCATGTTTTTGACTACGGAGAAAGTCGTGTTGATTACCAATGGTCCTTTTTCCTTTTTAGCTCGAACAAATCACTGGCAGACTCGCTAGACGAATGTGTCGATGCAAAGGATCCAAACTTTAACAAGGTAGGATCATAGTTAATTGAGTAGAATGGTTATGAAACCCGTCAGACTCCTTTGTTATATGTTTTTGTGGACCTGAAAGTGCACAACGTTCGAAAGAATTCCTATCATTTTGATTGTATTGACCAATAAAAACGTTGCATTAATTTATTCCGTAACAATTTGCCAACAGAAAACAAAGGATTGTGCACTTTCAGGGTGCTTCCAACATAAACTGCAAAACTGTTGTTTTTATCATTGATGTTTGCCGCTTTTCATAACCAGTCTCCTCTAATAACTATGGTAGGATCAACAAACTGCCTCCGTTTGTACCCAAAATTGCAAAGCCAGCCAATAGGATTGCCTAAAATCTTTATCGATTAGCTCTTCTTCCAAGCCGACCAATCAGATTGTACAAAATCTGTATCGATTTAGAATCGATTTGCTTCCTCTGAAGAACGTTCCTTGCCAAATTTGTCGCGCTAGAGTTTTCCCACTCGTGGTTTAGGATGGCTTGTTAACCAGCTAAATCCTTCGGGATACTGGCAAGTCACGAAAGGCGACCTAAACCAAATTATTTCTTTCCTTCATGATTCTTTTTTGTTGAGGTCTAGCTTTTTCATAAGGTTTTAGTAGCGTCTGGTTGCGGGCCGTGATTTCCGATGGATTTTTCTATTCGGAGTTCGCCAGTTTTTACCGAGCACAGCCAGAGTTCAGTTTTTTTCTTTTCTTATCGAAAACCCCTTTACTTTTCTTTACGAAAACCCCTTTATTGTCCTCGTCGATCGACAACTCGCTTTCGGCATGGATTGGACTACTGGATGGGACACGGATCGGGAGTGGACCTTAGTAAACTTATTATACCTTGGAATCAGGGATAATCATTGGAACTATGTTAACTTTGAGACCTTGGAAACACAATGCAATTAATTTTTAACCGTATCAAGAGCATCTTGGAATATTAAACTTTCATCTTGGATTAAAACATTGGAACTTTATCGAACTTTGTAACCCTGGGTTCGACCCTGGATAAAGCAAGCGGATGTTTTATTTTGTTTTGTTCCATTAACCTAAAACTACAATGTTTATTTCTCTTTGAAAAAGTTACCTGTGGTAACTTACTACCAAGATATGATGTATCTTTATACATATAGTTCCTGTTCAGGTTAATCAGAGAGCATTATGCGCATGTTCTCCATTACTTGTTCCGTTAACATTCCAATTTAAGTGTGTTTGGATGCAAAATAACTTCTTTTCCTTATCCAAATCGTGCTACGAAAATAACTACATAGTGATAGATCAAAACAAGATCAACTCCATCCTTGCGACCACTGACAACTATAAATTTAGCTTGCGTAACAGGTGTCGAGAGGGGTAGGGGATAGGCAGGAAGCAAAAAGGGGATGTGGATTGGGGAGAAACAGTAGCCTGCCACGCAGGCTACTATAAATTCAGTCATAAGCACATTAAACCAACCCATACAGGTAACCTACTCATCGATGCTCATAACATGACATATCTTTGCGGGTTCCCTAATTTTTCCAAATTCAGATAGAACACCATTATGCTTCCATGGACCAACGCATCCCACGGAAACGACTTTAGGCGTCTTGTTTTTCTTTTTTTGCGGTTCCTCGCCCTCAATAACGAAATTAACCAAGGATCTAAGGATAGACTAAGGTTTGCGCTGACTCGACTGTGATAAGCACTGTAATTTCGCGACGAGAACGGGGGATCGCGTGAACGATTTGAAACCCAAGAAATCCAGTTTCTAACTTTTCATATTTAAATGAGTTCGTTCTTGGGGTTTGTCATAAATTGACCTTCAGTGATATGGTTATGTATTATTATTTATATATTTTTTTTCGTGCTCCCTGTAGATTATTCGTTCCCTTGCTACTCAAGCCATGTCAAATGCCCTTTACTTCTCTACTGGCTCCTTGTCTCCAGAAAATTTCTTTCACTATGGTCTTGCCTTGGATCGCTACACACATTTCACCTCACCGATTAGGAGATATGCTGATGTTATTGTGAGTCCCTAACGTTTTTAATATTTCTTTATTCGTTATTTGTTTATTTGTTTCATTGTTTGGGTAGGGTTGAAGTTTCTCAAATGACAATAGGCCATTTGCACGATGACGTCTCTTTACCATTAGGGACATTAAGCAAGGACGACGACGACGGCAGTGAAAACGTATAAAAAAATGAATTTGCGTTCTTTCAAACTTAATCGCGTCTATTTGGACCCGCTCAATATGTCAAATGCAGGCGACTTTTCCTGGAGTTGAATTCTTAAGGATTTTATTCGGGTTTAAAAAAAAAGGAAGGAAAATTCGTCATCGTATGTCCACGTGCTCCATAAAACGTCAAATTAGGAGGTTTCACGTCGTAGTCGTGCAGTGGACGTCAAAGAAATGTACTAAAAAGCGTGATGCAGGTTTGATCATGAAAACCTATTGTTTTTTTGAAGTCGTCGTTGTGGTCGTCTTCGTAGTTGCTTAAGCTCCCTACTAAGACCAGAACTCATTGGGTGGTTCCTTCCATATTTGATTTTAGTAATCTCAGTGAGGTCTAGATAACAAAAGCCGTAATTTGCACAAGAAAGCCAAATCTTAAACGATTGTGGTTGTAGTAGTAAACAAAATGACGCCATCGTGCAAAGGGCCTATTCGCAAAAACTCTGACGTGCAGCTGGGTACTTACCAGTTACATGGAAAAACCGGAAAATCCGGTTGGAAAATCAAATGGCTTGCACCATCCCATTTGGGAAGCTGTGCTTTGATTTGAAGTGGTGCATTTTTTCACTCTTTTTAGTCTGTTTAGTTTTGGATATACTTTGTTAATTGTAGCAGGTCGCTCTCCCACCTCGTCAATGTTTTGTAGTTTTATGTTTTATGCACGAGAATTCCACCCAGGTGATTTGTGTTAGTGGTAAGCATCCCCGGATATGTGCTTAGCTTTTTTCTTCGGTGTATAACAGTAAATCCCAATGTTCAGCGGAGCATTATCCTAAAAAATACTTTCCTGTGTCGCTCTTTGGCATGATTTGAGATGTTATGAATATTGTCTTTTTTCTAGGTTCACAGACTATTGATGGCTGCTGTCGAGAGTGACGACGTTGCTAAACTCCCAAACAACAAGGAACTGCAAGAGATTTGTCATCATATTAACGTTAAGCACAGGGTATATATCAGCTCTCACTTGTTTTCGTTAGCTAGCCATGCACTGAGTTACCATTAGTATTAAAAAAAGAAAAACATCTCTCATACTTTGAAATTTGTAGCAACATAAAGAAAAGAGTATAGACCACTGGTTCAAGGTTTCACGTCACCGTCAAAAATTTCCATTTCGTAAGCGGGCGCTGCCATTTTCAAGACACTTAGGAGGTTTTTTACCTGTTATTGAGAGTGTTTCTATCAAAGAGAAAGAAGATCGCAACCTAAGGTCAAACCGGACCTCGAACCCGGACCTTTTGTATCCCAATTTCTCTCCCTTACCACTTCACTACGACACCGACCCGCCAAAATTCCGAAAATTTGGAGTCCATACACTAGCAAACTGTCTTAAGTTTCTTAACTGACACATCAATGGCAGGTGCCCCTAGTCCTTTCCATAATTTTTAACGGAAACTGAACTTGTGCTAAGCTTCAAAGTCGTTCTCTCTAAGACTATTAAAAAACGTATTATTTGCTATATTGTAACTTGAATATAGTAGAGCTATCTTGACTAAAGGTAGATCTTTAAAAAAGGCAACGACCGTTTGCGAAGTGTAATAGGCGTCACCTTCTGCAAGCTAGATTCTCTTGTCTGATGTACGCACAGCACCAACTATGTCTACTATTCACTCTCGCATACGGCCCTATATTTCCAAAACTGTAATTAGACGGTTAAAAACTTGAGTCGTGACAATACATGTTAGGAGTTATTACTTTTAAAAGATATCGCAGTCAAATGAGATAAAACCGATCAAATAAGATTCATTAGTACTTCCTCTAAATACCCAAGCAAGTATAGTAGATATTGCTGTACGCCAAAAACGTGTTACATAAACGACCTTTCTTTTTAACTTGCTCTTCTTCAAGGCTGCCCAAAACGCTCAAAAGGAATCTGTCGATCTTTTTCAAAGCATCTTTTTTCAAGACTTACCAGAAGATGACGATAGAAGAAACTGTGACGCCTTAATTTTTAGTCTCAGAGCCAATGGCGTTCTTGTGTTTGTTCCACGGTAAGTAGTCATTTTGAGTCTGATGAGTTACAGTTTCAAGGTTTGCCGTTTGACTTCCCTGTTCCAGGTTGGATAACATTATCCGCGTTTTGGGAAAACCATGGCCAATTGCGTTATCCAATGGATAGTGGTTTATCCAGTGGATAACGTTATTATTACTTGAACAACTGGGGCAATACGAAAAAGAGCAATTAAGAACTCTGATATGTTGTCTTAAAACTTTAAGCTACTTTAAAATATACTTGCCTTTTTCTCTTGTATTATTTTGTTATTGTTAGACCATTTTCACAGTAACAGTAATCTATTACAACTACCTTGATGTCGGGCTTTGTAGGCTATGTATGTATTTGTTTGTTTGTTTGTTTGTTCTGTTTTTGCAAGTTAGAGCTGCTAAAATGCGTAAATTCATTGGTACTACAAAATTTGAACAAAAAAGGCATTGCGAAATAGTTTCTGGTAGCTGTGCGCACTGAAATTTTAAAACGGCCTATGACGTTCCCCTTTTTTCTGTATTATGCTATTATCTCTATTTCTGAAAGTATTTTATTTGCATTTCTTTTCATTGCCACTTTTTCTGCGCATAGTGGCAGGAGGTTGGGGAGTGTTAAATCCCAAAGCTGAGATCTTTACCCAGAATATGATTCTGAGTAAGTGTACTGTTTACATTAATGCTCTCTGCTTCTCTTTGACAGTTACAGTTTAAAAGGTCCAGTATATCTTAAGGACAAAACAGGACAAGTTGTAACTCCTCAAGAAGATTTTGTTGTCTTTGGCCCTGGTGAGTACTTTCTAGATATTAAACGTTTCAGAGCAAAAACTATTAGCCCTAAGGTTGATTTCCCGGGCACTGACAAGTTTTTAGCTACGCACGTTAACGCACATAAATTTTAATCACTTAAATAAAATAGAGGCAAGATAAAAAGTGCTGAGCTTAAACGAGAAGTCGAGCGAGGTTCAACTTTTATGTTTACGAACCACGTTTCATGCATTGCCTCTATCTTATTTCCGAACGTAAATTTTACGCACGTGCACTGGAAATCAACCCTTAGCTGAAGTAAACGTGTCGGTTAATGGGTTAAGGAACAGAAATGTCACCAAATTTACCTTCGTTCAAGCTACTGAAGCTTATGGCACCATGCTGTTAAACCATGTGTGTGCTAAATGCTTAAAGGCCATTGTGAGGTCGCGGTTGTATGTTTTGAACTGCATTCTATGCCACGAAATGAGTTTACTGTGACTTAAGACTACGGTATACGGACCGGAGGCACATTGTGTTCCCCCATTCTCACCGTCACACACTCAAGGAGGTACATTGTACGTGCAAATGGAAGGATCCTTCAAAAAGAGCATAAAAACAATGCACGGCAAACATTGTGTGAAAATAGTTATGACAGTGGTTGCTTACCATTTACACAACCCCTCACCGAGGGTGAAATCTTGTGCGTACACAAAAAACTATACAATTTGACGAGGCGGAAGAGTGACCCGCTACTAAGTATATCCAGTTCAGCTGAACATATACCCTGGGTGCCAGAGACTTTTCTAGCGCGGTTTCCGGTTTCTGTCAAGTCTTCATAGTGACCCGCGCGAAAAGCTTTTCTCGCGGAAAAGCGAAAAGTTTTTCTCGCAGCTTCGCCGCTCGTGGCTTCGGCCTTCGGCCAACACCGAAAATTTCCACCGCAAGCGATAAAAACCTCTGGTACCTAGGGTACTGAACATACTAGAAGGGATTTTATTTGCAGTCGCATACGCCTTTTACCTTAGCAGTCAAGAGACTGTAACATTTTGAGGGCTCTTATCTCAACAGGTCTGCTTACTCGACATGAATTTCACTTGACGGTCAGGAATTCTGCTGGATCTTTCGATTTTCGACTCTTTGACCACGTTAAGGTTTGTTGTTGTTGTTTTTGCTAATTGCCAAAGTGTCTCAAACACGTTAACAACGGAATATCAAACCATCCCGACTTTAAAAGATAAGCCCTTTCCTCATCTCCACTTGCTAAGTTAGTCCTGTGTTATTCTATCGTTGGGCCATTTTCCTTCCTAACAAGACACTAAAGCTGTTTAACTATGTTCAGTGCATGGGCTCGGTACTTGTATGTATTAGAGGGAAATCTGTTTCCCGATCTCCCAAAGTTTTTCCTGTTTTATGAAAAATAAAAATCGTTCCTATAACCTCCTTTATGTTGATAGAAGAAGATAAATCGGGAAAGTCCAGAATTCTACGAAATGAAGACATAACAACCTTCTCTGATCTCAGCAACAGATTCAATTTGGCGCCAATAGTCCAGACTCAAATTTGTTGCGCCCACTGAAGAGGAGCAGTGAAGACTCGTTTATACAGGATTCGCCTCGACCTGAAGTAAAATATTCACAATTACAAATGATAAAATATTTACAGACACGGTTGTACACAGGTGTTCTTTTGACTGGAATTTTTGAATATATTTAACTAAGGTCGAGGCTAACCCTGTATAAATAAGTGTTCGGTGCTTCTATTCAGCGGCCACGACGACTTCGAATCTGGAATATTGTATGGTGTGTGGTATGTACCGTCGGATTTCTCATCAAAATTGCAAACTTTGACCTTGTGGTAAGTTTTATCTCTTGCCTTTTCAGGTACGAATATCTGTCAATAAATCTCGTGCGCATTCTCAATCCTTGAAGCTGGAACTGCTTTCCCTAAAAACGAGCCAGAGTCCCCCAGTTACCGAAATAAACCCTCAAGATGAAACAACTAATAAAATGAAGAGAAGTGAACTTGTCAAGGTACTGTTGTAAATTTGTGAAAGGTTTGAACCCAGGAGTCATTTCAAAAGTAGGTTGAGTTTGATCCTCCGGGTGAACGTAGTCCTGAATAGGACTGTTGTTGTTGACAGTGACTCACGTTTCGAAACCTGTACGGTAGTCATCTTCAGAGTCAAAGAAAAATACATTTCAAAACTTGACTCTGAAGATGACTACCGCACAGGTTGTCGAAACGTCATTGTCAACAACAACAGTCCTATTCAGGACTACGTTCACCCGGACGATCAAACTCAACCTACTTTGATACTGTTGTAAAGCAACCATATTTTACGTCGATAACTCGTGACAGTAATAACTGATAAACTTGAGGTAGACGGTGCGCTCATTTTATCCCCCTCTCTCCATCAATGCTCCGTGGGATACTACGACGGTGACGGCCAATGAATTTACGTTTTTTTAATCTCTAGCTTGAATATTCCAACTCGCTTACTTTGTCGAATGCAAGCGAACTCTTCTGGAGCCAGATTCCTAACAACTATATTCAGGTTCAGAAAGAGGTAGAAAATTTCGTTGACACTTGTTTACGTCCTCCCTAAAACTTGATATGAGGCTTTTTTACGTTGTAGTCGTTCAGTGACGGCAAGGAAATGCACAAAAAAAGCGTGCGGAGTTGTTGCCATAGTTTTTTGACGTTCTCGTTGCCGTCGCCGTCGTGGCATCTTAAACTTCTTGGTCACGCCCTTGTCACGATTACGGTATACCTTGTTTTTTACTCTGAAATCTGTTTATGCGTTTTAACCGTCCAAATTATGAAGTTTTTGTATTTTTTGGACGACCCAAGACTAGTGCTTGTTTTCGGGCGAAAGCGAGGCTCATGCGGGGAAATTCTCTCTACGATAACAAATAATCGTGGGAAAACTGATGTTACCGGAAAACAAGGAAAATGTTCAACGTTGGACAGTGTAGTTTCAGACTTGAGAGATCATTATTTCAAACGACAATGTTTGTTTGTGTTTGGGCTAAGAATCCTCTAGTCCCAGGACCGTTGGGAGATACGAAAATTGCTTGTTGAAAATATAGTCACTACACTCCTGGTCTTTAGTCGCCTTGACTAACCGCAGTAAAAATTTCATCCGGAACACAAATTGACGGGTTTTATTCAGACTCAATGTTTTCGCTTTTAACACGTTTTCATTCCTTGCCGCAGCAGGATTAGCTCAGACGGTAGAGCGCTCTACTGCAGAGCAGGAGTTGGTGGGTTTGATTCCTGGGACCGGATCAATACTCAGGGTTTTAAAGTAACTGAGAAGTGAAGGTACCGCCTTTGCCCTGCAAACGGCTAGACTTTCGCTTGGCTCGGTGGACTACGTAAAGTGGAGGTCCCGTCTCCAGTAGGAGACGTAAAAACAGTGTCCTCGATTGGTACAATAGTGCTAAATATATTGCCACTCAAATTAACCTTCCATTTTATTTATTTATTTTATTTTCAGGAAGTGAAATCAAGCCGAGATGAACAGAGCAAAGACACAGGAATGGAAAGACTTGATAATGAATTCCAGAAACTGAAATCAGAATTTGCTCAAACTCATGAAAGTGTCAGCTTCTATTGTCTAATGGAGTTCTTCAGAGAAATGTCAATGAGGGATGATCATCAAGGTGTGGTTTAAACAGTGCTCCATGTTAGAAAACTAACCTAAAAATCCTGGAATCGCAGACTCGATAATGAATTGCAGAAATTCAAATTAGACTTTGCCCAGACCCATGAAACTTTCATTGCTGTGACTGTTTAATGGAGTCTGTGGGGTAAAGTCAAAGAGAGATGACAATTGTGGGCTATAAACGCTACCTCGTACAAGAGACATTCGGCCAACTTAAAACCTACAGATGGGACCAGGGACTTAATTTAAGGCCTAGTAGCGTATTTAGTTTCTAGACATTTCCGTTGATTTTTCTCGGAAAATCGGGCGAGAGAGGCAGAGAAAAACAAACTGCGCCATCATAACGTCATTTTCATAGTCTATAGACCATTAGCTCTGCTCCCGACTAATCAGCGCGCGAGAAATCGCTTGGTTATTGTAAAAAATTGTATAACCATCAAATGGTTGACCTGCAATTTGTATCTAATCAACCCTTTCCTGCTTGTTTCTTTAATTGTAATTATTTTCCTGACTAAATGTGATTAACCAAACGTTAAAAGAAAAAAATAATAAAATTAATGGTGACAACACGCTGGTATAAAAATAAATTACATTTATATATACGGTTCTTTCAAAAAGGACCGCACATAGTAGGTTTTAATTAACGTTCGAAGGAAAAAAACTGTATATGTTTATGTTTTGTAAGAAAATGAGTTCTTTATGCGCGCCGGTTAAGGTAGAAATCAAACTCTTCACGGAATCATTGACAAACATAGTCCTGGTTACCCTTTAAAGGAGTACTCTTGTTACTTAATGCTGTAAAATTAATGTCAACAGTGTCACATGTTTTTTTAAACGCTACTGCTATTTTTTGGGTTGCCAAGGCTGGAAGATGATGGCTCGAAGAAGATGGCCTTGTCGTCTCGAAATGAGGACGACGACAAAGTTTCTTAATGGCATTCTTAAAGTGGGTCATACGTAAGCAGTAGATAATTGGATTAAGGAAAGAATTGGCGTATTGTAAAACTCCAGTAATCTGTGTAAACAGAGATCGTGGGTCAACCAAGAAGGTGGGAGCTGCAAAGCTCACACCACTTGGCAACTGTGTAATGAGAGAAAGTAGGGTGACGATGCAAAGAGTTTTTGCAAGCCTTTTGTTCTGTGCCAGTGACCTGTTTGTAATATTTTGCATCCGGTTTCGTCTGGTATTTATCCATATTGCTAGGTAAGAAGCAAAAATGACAACTGTAGAGAGAATTGATATCGCGAAAAGTCCCATTGTTGCGAAACTTATAGTGTTGTTAGAATAAAGAGCCAGCACCACCATACCATTTATGATGGCAACCATCCAAATAACGCCAGTGGAAACTAGGTAGTGCCAGGTCTCTAACGTCCGGTGCCGAAAGGGCCATAATATGGCTAACATTCTCTCTAACGCAATCAAAGCTAACGATGAAACAGAGGCTGTTGAAGCTAAAACATCAATAGTAACTCCACTGTATTTCAGAGGCAGGCTGCGTGACTCATGGTTTCTAGACCAAAATAAAATACCATCCCATATGTGCAATGATATCGCTACACCGAGTAACAGATCGGCGACTGTTAGGGAAAGGAGCAGGTAGCATGTCTGCCTTAGGTGGCTCTGAATCTTTATAAAAATAATAATTGTAATAGAATTTCCCACTAGAATTAGTAGCGCCTCACTGCTGAACACGATAATCCAATGTATCTCGTTAATATAGGCTTCCCCTGTGTTCTTGTTATCCATTTTAGCCATTCCTTGAAAAGAGGAAAAACAAATCACGTCACAAGTTTTTGCCAAAAAAATAGGGGGAAAATGACGCTTATTATTATATTAAATTCTACCGAGTTACCCCCTATAGTATCCTCTGATCCAATTCAAACTTGTAATATGCAAAAGTAGGGTGAAAAAGGCGAACACGAGCCGAAAGCCCGAAAGGCTGGAGATTATCCCAGTTTCCTTAGCATGAAGCATGCCTAGGAGTATTGCCACCCTTCCCCGATGGACGGGATGCTAGTCCATCGCCAGTTTGTCGCCGGTCCCCATTTATACACCTGGGTGAAGACAAAGTGGAGTTAAGTTCCTTGTCTAAGTAAACGACGCGGCGGGCGAGGCTTGAACCCCGGACCTCCAGATCCGGAGGTCGAGTTGTTAATCGCTCGTTCATACACGCCTTCATAAGCAAAAAGCCTATACAAAAAACTGCTCTGGGAAACTCATAGAATAAATAATGCGTAACAAAACAACATGCTCTTACTTCCAGCTTACGATCCGAAGCCACACCTTAACTTTTCCGGTTTATGACATTTAGCCATTGTTAGCCTTCTTGCCAAGATTTATGTGAGTAGGCTTCTTTTTTTCTTTTCTTTCTTTTTTAGCCATTAGGCTAAGGGTTTCCTTTCAGAAAACGTTTGGACAAGTTAAATGCTTAATACTTAGCACCGTCGGACAACCATCTCACGATTGAAGTGCAAAAGCACTGCAACGTGGAATTGATACTGAATAATATCCATATATGAAATCGCTTGATATTAACATACTATCTTACAAATCTTGGAGGTTTATCATTCGATATTAAAAGAAACCGAAACGTTTCCGACCAATAAGCCTTACTAAAAATGCCATAATACTCTTTGTTGTCCCTCCAAAGTTTTGCATTAGCATTGTTTTCAATTTCTCTTGGGCTTATAATCGTCCGAAAACGTTTTGATTCTTTTTAAAACTTTTAACCTTGTAAAATAGCATTTAAAGCTAAAAACTTACCTGTTGTTTTTTTTTTTTCTGTGCAGTGGTGTTTATTCCATAAGACAACAAATTCGGGCGATCCAATTTCTGTGAATATTTTGGCAAGTATATGCTGTTAATGTTTCGAAAAGAGATAAGACGGAGATAAAGCGCAAGTTTGTCCTAAATTAATGGCTTTGCTCCCATTAAGTGTCATTTCCTTTCTTCGTTCGTACAGCTGCTGACAGCTGCTTAAAATTTTTCATAAAACGTTGATCCTGAGAATTGCTATTTTGAGTTGTTCAGCCGTCTGTGTCATCGTTTTTCGTTGTGTTCCTTTTTTCACGATTTTATTACGTGGTTATTTGAAAACGGTTCAAGGTTTCGCGTTCTTACTGCCACTAGAATGCTGCAGTGTTTAGTTCTTTTGGCTTAAGCAACCACCAAATCGAAGGCGACAAAAGCATCGTTTTTTGTCGCAAACAACGGCACTACAACATCACAGTTGATACATTTTTATTATGGTACCCATGCACAGCTACCCAAACCCTAGCCAATTAAGACCTAAATTCAAAATGCAAAACGCACATTAAAAATAGGTGTTTATTGCGTGTAACAATAATTGTACCAGTTTTGTTAAAATCCCCCTGGTACCTGCATTTCGCAAAGCTGCGCTGAATTTTAACCCATTCATTCTCAGAGTGATAATGGAGTCTCAGTGTAAGGTAGTTTTAACTTCCGAGTTTGTGGACAAAATGATGTGGCATTACCATTCAAATCGGAAACCTCTCTTGAGGAACTTTCGCAAAGTGTTATTTGGTTTCTGGAATTGAAATTCTACTTTGGTCACTTCTTTGAGTAAAAGGGTTCATTGTATGATGCTACTCCCTTCAGAAATTGCAACCCCTTGTTTTTCTCTGAGAATGGGAGATTTATTGTAGTTGTTAGAGATTTCGCAGCCGATTAGGAACAAATTGCTTGAGGCCCTTTCTACCAATAGGTAGTCAAGATTTTTCTGGTTTTCATCTCACTATTGATACCTCCTCCGAGCAAAATATTGCTCTTTTTTATAATGACACAATAAACACCTGCTACGTGAAAAAATATTTTAATTTTGGTACAAAGTAAAAGCAAATTATTTTAGGCCCAAACTTCATGAAAATAAAGGATATTCCTACCAAACGGTTGCGTCAGTGTAACTGTCTTTGTGAATCATGTGGTTCTGTTCTCTTACCCATCTTAACCACTATATAACTTTACACTGAGCCATGTTTAATTTATTTGTCTCGCTCCTTCATGGGGCGTGTTCGATTTTAAAAACGACTGTTTTGTTTTCCAGTGAACAGGAATAGATTCATTGTCGTTGAAACAAATTAATTTTCCGTTGCTAATCTCGCCACCGACCAGGAAAAAATTGCTTGAGGCCCATCCTACCAACAGGGTTTCGCACTTGTTAATCATTACTGTCAGATTTCTGGTTTTATCTCACTCTACAGTTCCCACCTGTTCTCGGAAATAGAAGTAAATTAATTTTGCTTTTTTCTGTAAAGACACAATAAACATCTGCTACTTGAAGAAAATTTTAATGTTACTACGTAGAAAAAGGTAATTATTTTATACCCACTCTTTATTAGTCAAAGAAAATATAAAGAATATTCTTACCAAATGGGATATCCCTAATGTGATTAATAAACCGAAGTAAATTTTTTGTGCGTAGACCAGAATTCGTAAAAAAAGACTGTCTGTACCTTCCTTCCTTTATCAAAGTGGTCCTGATGACTCCCACGGTTCTGTGCTTTACTCGTATTCAGCCTAATGCTACAGACAACTTCGATGACTTATGTACCTTGGGACTGTTTTCTCGTCTAATCAAACATCATAGCCTGTCTTCCACAATACGATTACTAGAGTGCTTCAACGGCCTCTATAGACCTTAAGAAAACTCCATTGGTAACTCCGAGTGATTTTTCCTGAAAATTAAGCCTGTTCCCAAAGTAACGACAGAAAAGCTTTCCCAGTGCTTGCTTAAACTCAGGCATCTTGAAGCAATAGACAATTGGATTCAAAAACGAATTTGCGTACAATGCCACTATGGTGATTTGAAACCCGAATGAATGTATATTTTGTGTGTAGTTATTTAAAGCAAGTGTGACACCAGAAGGCAAACAAAATAAGATCGACAATCCTGTAACAATACAAAGAGTCTTCGCTAACCTCCGGTCATGTTCTTGAGATCTTGACGTTTTCCCCGGTAGGTTGTGGCGTCTCGTTTTTATCCAAATTGCAAAATATGCAACGCTTACGACTACGACTGAAGTAATAGAACTGATAACCGTGAAAAGGCTAAATTGCTCATTAAAGTTTATGTTTGCTACTCCATTCAAGATTGCCAGTGTCCAAACGCTTCCAACAGAAGTTACGTAGTACCATTTTCTTGACAATCTATGTCGAAATGGCCACAAAATTGCACACATTCTTTCCAAAGATATCAAGGCCAAAGACAATAAAGAAGCCACTACTACTGTTACATCGAAAATTACTATTTTTTCTCCAACTGAATAGCTAAGGTGTCGTCCTTTCATCGCGGCAATACCGTCCCAAAGCCAGAAGATGAGCGCAATGCCGACTGTAAAATCAGCAACTGCGAGATTGATGAGCAAGTAGCTGGCGCGCCTTAATCGTCTTCGTATGTTCCAGAAGATGTAAGCGGTGATCAAATTTTCTGTCAGGATTACAGTTGCTTCACAGATGTACACAACCATCCAAGGAATGGTATCAAACAACTGGAAGTGCTGGTTTGCTCTTGTGGCGTTCATTGGGTTACTGAATCTGAAAAGCAAAAAGAAGATATTACTTGTTTCCGCTTAATGGATATATACATTGCCACTTGAAGACCTGGGATTACAAAGATTCTTTAAGAAGAGAAAAAACCTTGATTCCTTCGTATTTGAAAATGTTACATGCAGTGAGATTCAAGTATCTTTGCCAGGCTAAGTTCTAATATGAAAAAAGAAAGGGACATAATAGTGCAATTTACGGTTGCTGTCGTGATTGTTTAACTCTTTTCCAAGTGTTCACGTCAGCAACTCTAGCTGGGTATCTTTTCTAATGTTAATCAGTACCCAGCAAGCACGGTGTTTGCAAGAAACAAATCGGTCGGCCTATTAAACACAGGTTTGAGTCTTTTTATACGGCTGCGGGAATAGCTAAGCTGCAATTTGTAATAATGACTAGAAAATGTTGTTGGTTTTTCTTTCTTTCTCTCTTCTTTTATTTCAGTAATGATGACAAAAACAAAATTAAAGGAAGATCCGAAATAAGGAAAATAATCCTGACCCCAAGCAGAAGTTTCCTCGTCGAGTTGATAGTGAAAAATCTGTTTCTTCGCTTGATGAACCCAATCTGCTAATTATCTTGCTCCCTATATTCCTCAAATTCTGAAATTAATATAATTAAAAGTGATATTTCAGATAGAGTTGGTTCAACCTCGATCTGACTAAAACATAATAAATTATAAACAGTAAACGGGAAATATCCGGGAAAGGAATATTCGACAGTTTCATGTAAATATGACATCTTAGCGTTAATGGCCGGGTTAATCAAATAACCTAAAGATCGTCCTTTGCCGATCCTCCGTTTAAGATTTAAATGCTCTTGAGTGAGTTCAGTTTGTCTGTGAATGCATTTTTTTTCATACACACGCAATATTTAATCAGTGTTATCTGAAATTTCCGTGCCAAAAAATGCTATGGGCAGTATTATTGATGATGATGATGATGACAATGACAATGATAATAATAACAATAATGTTGTTGTTATTATTATTATTGTTATTAATTAGCAATTATTGGGTAAGGCGGAGTATGACGTGAAGAATTATGGAGATCAAGGAGGGTGTTATTCGCCGAGGCTAAGGCTGGTAACACCGTCTGAGATCTTCGTAATTCTTTAACTCATATAAAAATTGAATCCAATGATTTCTTTATTATTCATTCAAAATAATTCCTAGTTTAAAAACAAGCTAAAACATGCTTACCTCGATGGATGTTAAGTTCCCGTCTTCATTTGCCTGTTTTTTTCCGCAAGTTCAGGAGATACAGGGATGTTCAGTTCTGCAGCTCTTCTAAATGGCAGATGTCGTCGATCGAGTTGTATTCTTACTGTTCTTGCTACATTTTTAGTCAGTAGTTCAGCTATTTCTTCTTCGCAAAACGTGTGAAATGTTCCCGGAATGTTCCGGTATTTTGTGCTGCTCTACCAAAACAACGCAACCTCGTCCCAAGGGCTTCTCGGTTGCCGTCCATTTCCCTGGCATCTATGCTGTACTGTTGACGTTATTTTCCACATATCGCAAACGTCTCCCAAATTTCAAATTTGATTGTCAACGGTTGTTTAAGAAGAATTAGCCTTGGGATTTGAGCCAATCAGAAACGGAGAAGAATATTTTGAATGGATAATGGTCTTTATTTCACATCCCATGCTACAGATTCTCATGAATTGTACATCATTAAAATAAATAAACGTAATCATAAAATCCTAACTATCCTATTTTGTGTTCTAAGGATTTACAAAAAAGTGAATAGCTGGAGAAAGGATAACAAGTGCGTGTACTCAAGATACTTCCTACTCAGTTTTATTTCCATTCGTGCATTATGTTACATCACGCGACAAATACTAGCCAAAATGCCACATCCCGTATTTCCACTTTTAGTCAAGTTAGGTCTTCGTCGAGTAGTTGATGACGACGAAGGAGGATTGCCAGTTTAAATGGATGTGGTATAAACGATGTTGGCAGGTTTGGAGGCCTTTTATGGTAGGCAATTCAGAAGATACCTGAAACTGACTGCTAAAGTACAAAATTTTTCGTGGGTATTTTTTTCATTGCTCAAATTGTTTTACAGTTTTTATGGTAATACCGCTTGCAGTTTTGAGAATACAATCATTTAAGGACACTGACCTTTGTCGTGGATGACAACGACAAAATACAGACTTTTTTAGTGACATTCTAAATTCTGGTATTTTAATTCTATATATGATTGGGTTTAGAAAAGAGTTCGAGTATAGTGTCACTAAGGTAATTTGTACGCCGAAGGAATGCAGGTGCTGTAGGGGATCGCTGAAGCAAAAATATATGCTTATTGGTAAAAATGTAATTATGGACACTACTGTGATAATCAAGAGGCTCTTGGCAAGCTTTCGGTTTTGCTCTGTGGTCTTTGATGCTCTTCTTGGTAGTTGGTTTCGTTTAGCTGCAATCCAAATGGTTAGATACGAGGCTACAATTACGACGACGGAGCTTATTAAAGTAATTGTCATTAGAAGTCTAAGCGGGCTGTCTACTCTTGCACTGTAGAGATTGAACTGCACTGTTACGTAAGCATTCAATGATGCTATTGACCAAACGATTGCCACCGAAATATGGTAGTACTATGCGCTTAACATTCGACAACGGCAAACATTCGCTATAAAGAAATTAAAGCCAGCGATAATAAAGAATATGTAACTCCAAGAGAATCAATTGTAGACGCTGGTTTCTTTAGAATGAGGCTAACTTCTTTCTCCATCATAGTAATGATGCCTTCCGACAGTGCTATTAGGCAAGAGCTATTCCCACCGTAATATCAGCAATTGTAACATTTATTAGTAGATAGCTGGTGCGTTTCAAGATACAAACTGTGATCAAGGTGCCTGTGATAATGAGAGCTGCTTCACAGATGTATATAATCATCCAAGGAACTCCATTGAACAACGGAGTGTCACCGTGGCTCGAGTTTGTCATTAGGGAGCTTAAGCAACAGCGTTTTTGAGCGACGGACGTCAACCGGAAGTGGCCTTTTTTCATTTTTGGACGGTGGTTTTTGCCTAAATTTTTGGACAAATCGTCTCTATGATAGTAAAGACAGTTAGTAATACAAATTTGGTAACGTCAAGGTGCTTTAAAAGGAAAAATACCTCACTTCCGGGTTGTCGTGTGCCGCTCAAAAACGCCTTTGCTTAAGCTCCCTATTGTAGCGTGTTCGCGTCAACGGACGTGCGCTAGCGACTGGAGTAATGCAGCTGATTCTGGCCTATTTTGTTCCCATTTTAAATGGATATTGCTCCACCATGAAATTATAAAAAATGGTTTTATTTAAGGTGGCTGAACACAGTTTGGCTTGCGGTCAGCGATAACTCGCGTGACGGCGCGTGTTTTAAATTAGACAAACAAACATGGCGGCGAAAAAAGCAATGGTACACAGAAGACGATTTCTCAAAATCCACTCGTTAAAACTTTGTGATTTTAGGCAGAATTTTTACTTTTATCGTATTTTAAACAAGGAGAACTTTAAAATGGAAGTTGAACAGACGAATTTTGTGACACATTTAATAATTACAGTACAATTATATCATTGATTATCTAAAAACCCGTCTGTAAAAATTTGGTCAAATACGTTTTACATGGTAATGATAAATTATAGTAAGCTGTGTTAAAGTTTATAGGAAAATCTAATGAGCGAATTTTATGTAAACTGAGCAAAAGTAAAATTTTAAGGTTGTATTCAATCGTTCATGTTGCCATGGAAACTACGAAAACGTCACATTTTACCTGTCAATCAAAATCTTTCATCAGCATATTTTTCACTTGCCAAGTTTCAGCTTGTGAGCTGCAACCTTTCTCTTGCCATGATTTTGCAAATGACATATGCTCACAAACTGTTAAAACTGTGTTCAGCCACTTTAATGGAATGTTTTGTACTCATTCTAAAAGGATTTTTTTCCCCATGAAATGATAAGAAAATGGTCTTATTGCATGGGATCTTTCGTTACACCACCAAAGGAATGATATCATATCAGTCGTTACGAACAACAAAAATGAACTTTGAAAACCTGTTAGGTGAACAAGTTTTCAAAATCACAATTGCAATCCGCTTCAAGCTTCAATCTTCAAGTTTGTCAATCCGTGCTTCCTTTTGTATTTTAGCCTTTGTCATTTATACCTTGAATGTTTGAATTTTGATAAATTTCGTGACAAAGTGGTTTTAGGCAAAAAAGCCCTTGGTAATGTCAAATGCAGCTCAGTATCGAGAATCAGTTAGAATTCACCCTCTTCAAAAAAGGGGAGATGAGCCTACACCCAAGCGTTCAACGTCAGGGGCGGATCTAGGGGGAGGGCGCAGGGGGTGCGTACCCTCCCCTGAGATTACCTGCGGTTTTCTAATACAACTGGTATTCTGCCAAAAAAAAAAACACTTTGTGGTTTATTGGTGTTGAAGTAGAGCAAGAGACGAGTGCACCCCCTCCTAAAAAAAATCCTGGATCTGCCCCTGAACGTGAACAATCTCAGAACCGTTTAAGCTATGACTTTTCCCAAAAATTGTGTGGGAACATGAACTCTTCTGAACTCTTACGTCTTACATGTTCAGGTTAGCTGGCCGTGGGAATAAAACACGGGAAATTCGGTGAGGGAAATGATTGGATTCTCATTGAACCTATACATGTACGGTTGCGATCGGCGAAAAGGTACAAAACAATGAGAAACTATAAATCGCTTGTTAACAAACCCAAATAGGAACTTCAACGAGGCTAATGAAACAAAGTCAGATTTAATCTCACAAACACGAACACCTGTATATAAGTTACAACTGACGAGGGCAAGCAAAGTATTCCAATAATGGAAGCAAGTAAATGTGGGAATTCAAGAAAAATCAAAGATCAAAGCAAGAAAACACCCATGACGAAATCCACACCAACCTTCACCCACTCAATGAAGCAAAAACGAAACAAAAAGTGAGACAAATCTCTTAAAAATAACTTTAGAAACTAAGTCACAACGCTTATAAAAGACTCCTTTTTAATGTCTTCTATTTTGTCTTTAGTTTGTCGATGGATTGTAGCACCTCCAGTATTATGACATCTACTTGTCTCAACAGTTTCGCCTACATTTAAAGAAAAAAAAAGGACAATTTGGATCTTCCCTGCAAATCTTAGTCCTGCCAGAGTTCACATATTACGCTTAGGCTACGTAGTAACATTGATGATTGCTCGAAATTTGTAAAGATGAGTGTACCCTCCGTATGCCTATTTAAACCATTACATTGCCGCCTAGGAGTAAGCAAAGACCGTCAAGCTAAGTCTTTGACTGCCAAAAGTCGAGGAAACAAGGTCTGTTAGGTTTAATTTCCAGTGTCGCGTAATTTTTACGTGCGTGCGTGCATAAAATTTAGGTTCGCAAATAAAATAGAGGCAATGTATGAAAGGTCACACGTAAGCGTAAAAGTTGAACCTCGCTCAACTTTCTCGCCTCTATTTTATTTACGTGCGTTAACGTGCGTAGCCAAAAACGCGGCAGTGGAAATCAACCTTTAGTTAAGAAACGCACCCAGTTATATGGAGTTTGCTAATCTGGAGTTTCAGTACCTAGAGTTAAGACAAGGGCATTCCAAACCGTCACGGTGAGGCACATAGTTCAGCAGTCTCCGTTTTTCCCCCTCAAACAAAAATGGTGACGCAGTGGTGAGGGCGCTCGCCTCCCACCAATGTGGCCCGGGATCGAATCCTGACGTCCCCGCCATATGTGGGTTGAGTTTGTTGTTGGTTCTCTCCCTTGCTCCGAGAGCTTTTTCTTCGGGTACTCCGGTTTTCCCCTCTCCTTAAAAACCAACACTTTCAAATTCCAATTCGATCTGGAACGCACGGACACGTTTAATCGAGTCTCATGAACTCCTAAGTGCTCCGAGGGTAAACAAATTACAAAAAAAATCGGGGAAAAAGTCTAAGGAGAGTTCCAAAATATTATGGAAAATTGGAAAAAGTTAAATTGGAGTCAGGACCTCGATCGAGGACTAATTTAATTTGAAAGCGGTTAACCTTGTCTGCGGTTTATTAAAGTAAGCCCTGTCACGTGACATTATTCGCTCCAAACAAGAACATTTTAATAAATGAAGCAGCATATAATATGTGCAAACTTCCAACCAGGCCCTGATAATGAACAGATTGCAAGCAGCATGCTGTTTTTAGATGTCTCTTTATAAACCGTAGACAATTGGTTATAATGCCAAGAGAGTTACCTTTAGGTTGTCTGTTATGGGCCAATAGAAGAGGTTAGTTTATTTTTTGGTAACTCCTTGGAAATATCATAAAATACACCCCATCCACGTTGTTTTTTAAGTTCAATACGGGGTGGGGGGGGGGGGTGGATGACACTCAACAAAGTTTTATACGGGGAGGCTCTGCCCCGAATTCCAAACCCTTACTGTTTTCAGGCTCCTGCTGTTTTATATACTATTTTTGGCAGAAAAGGTCCCCCTTTCGTATACCTTCTATTGACAAATGGTACTCCTTAAACATACCTAGTTACAGTTGTTTCAGATGACACTTTTGTGACGTCAATCAAACTCTGAAGAATAGTCGCTTTTTCTCGCCTTCGCATCGTAGCGGACATCTTAGGAAAAAAAAGGTCATGGTTTGTGATAGGTGATTGGTGGAATTCAGAGTTCAGTCGCGTGTTTTTGAAAAGCGGAGCAATCTTTACCTTAGCTCTAAGATTTTTTGTCTTCTTTATACTGAAACGTAGCAAGTTTAGATTGTCCCTATAAAGCTACCAAATCCAGAAGAAACACAGATATGGGAGGGTGAAAACGAATCGGTACGTTCCCGCCAACGTTTACTTTTGCGGCTTCTGTTTGTTACTGCCGCCTTTATTTAGCAAACACAGTGGATGCCATGGTAACGGTTTGATTGACGTCGCTGAAAAACCCAAAATGACCATACTTTTTTGACAACGCAGGTCTCGTTTTATCCGAAACAGCTGAAACTGAAAAAACACTGAAACCCTTTTAACTACTGAAAATGCCTTTTTTGATATAGATAAATCTCTCACACACCAGGAAGTTTTCTTCATCTTTTCAAAGCCATAAAATGCGTTTGTTAGTCCTTTTAGAAATTTTAGGTTCTTTTAAAGACCGAAATGACGGATTTCCCTACACTTTCACATACTTCAACAAGTAAAATCCTCACCCTTCTATATACCTCAAAAAGTACCCCTTACGGGCGGAGCCTTCCCGTATGGGCCGTTACAGATAGTACAACGCGGGTAATGGAAACCAAAAGTCGTAGTATTTTGTATAAGCGCTCCTCTGAGCCATAAATCTGACAAAAGAATATAACGCTTCCCCCCCAAGAAAAAAAGCTATAATCCAGTCGTTAAATACCTTGGCTCCAGAACGGTTCGTACCAAGAGAGAACGTACCCTCAACCCAGGTTAGTCTTTCAATTGAAAGAATCAAGCGCGTAAGGACATAGCGGTGTCACAGAGTAAAATGCGACTTATGCGTTCAGTCACTTCGATAATCACAATGGTGTACCACAGGCAGACCATCCAAACTGTTCGAGTCATCGTCATGTCACGTGCGACATGTGATCTCATTTTGTATTTCGTAACGCCCGCTCTCGGCTTGATTCGAGTGATCGGCAGAAGTGCTTCATAAAACACAGAGGTTTTCATCTTTTGATCCCAAATGTTAATATAAGGTAAGAAAGATTAATAAAGATAACTTGCCATATGTTTTTAGTGTCGTCTTCAGCATTTTTGTCGCTTGAAACTGACACCCCCGACTATTAAATACACAATAAAACGACGGTTGGTCAGCCTGTGGTGTGTACTTACGACGAAAACTGCAATGTTCTAACCCGTACTCAGATACCGATGCACCAAGGTCTGATGCAACAATAAAAACCACTTCTCGAGCAGAACATATTATTTGGACAGCATCTGCTAAAACTTGATGTAGAAGGAACAAAGCAGCATATTTGATCGTCACGACAATGATGATCCCAATCCGGACATTCCACAACGGATGCTATAAAACAAAAATATAACTGACTTGCTCAGGGGTGTGTATAATCCCAATCAACATATATAAGCATCCACATCTCTATATGATAAACAGAAATCGTCAAGTGGATAATTTGTACGTTACTTTTTGCCAAAATTATGGAAACTAATCAACTGGTTGAAGATTTTAGCCTAGAGAAGAAAACCAGGAATTAACAAATCGGCAAATTTGAACATTTACCCAAGATCCAGTTTAATAGCAAAGAAAGCGTAGACGTCGGTGGATTCTGAAAATTAGCAACCCCATGCAGGATAGGAAGGAATTCTGGGAATCGAATCTCGTTCTTATTTGTGAGAAGAAGCCCTCACCAGAATGGTTTTCGTCCACGCGCAAGAGTTGCGTGGTGTAGTGTGAACATAGCATAAGTACACTATAAAGTAGACTGCTCGCAGTCTCTCTTTTTCTTCAGATTTAGTAAGGGGAGTGCACGCGCGCGCGAGCGGCGAAGCCGCGAGACGCGCGAAACGAGGGCAGCAGCTCCCGTCTCGCGCCATCAGTCACGCGAGTGGCCATTTGCGTGTCTTGCGTTTTGCTCAACGGACTACAGAAAAAAGAGAGACTGCTCGTAGTCTAATTATGAAGTACCTTTGTAGCAGTCTTTGCCTGAATAGCCATCCTTGCATAAGCATGTCCCATTGATTAAAGTACCACCGTTGAAGCACTCCAGGGCGTTTGTTTCTTTTTCTTTTGATATACTCGCAGACAACAAAGCCCTCGTAAGAATCGAAATGAATATGAGCTTTAACAACATCTCAGGAGTTTCAACTGAAACATTGACCAGAGAAACACTATAAGTTAGCATCTAACAATCCGAGGGCAAGAGAAAATGTACAGATATTTTCTACAGTCACAAACACAGATATTTCAAAAACAAAATATATTTTATCTAGTTATTAAATGAAACCTAATTCAGTCACGGATTCACATCTTTAAGTAACTGGGGGGGCTCTGGTCATCCAGGCCCTAAGATAGAAGGGGATCAGGACTCGAAAATAGTTTTTGCTTGGTCCTTCGGGCTTCAGTTTGGCCCAAGTATAATCTGAGGGCCGCACCCCCGGACTCCTCCCTTAGATCCACCTCTGTAACGCTATGTTTACGCTTTACCGGAAAAAAAAGCTACCCGGTATAGAATGGACAATGGCACAGCGAGCACTGGAACAAGTCGTTCTCACACATCGAACATCGTGCCGGAGCGGTTGGCCAAGAAAGTCCTAGTCCTCACTCATGAATATTTACCTCCGTCTCAGCGGATTCCAGTCCTCGCTCCTACTTATTCACTTCCGGTACGGTCCAAATGCCTGTTCAAGCGTGGCGATTGTGACTCATCACTTTGCAGATCGGCTCGCGGCGCTTCGTTACGGAAACCGTGTTGAAATCACCGATCATATGTGTGAACAGACTGAGTGGCTTAAATCCAGTACGGTTTTCGTGCCGACGCAAGAGCTATCCGGTATTTAAGTGTGAAGACAGCCTTAGTCTTTGAAAAGATTCAAGAACACAAGAGGAGAAGGAGAATTCCACCACCGCCGGTTAGCTCAGTACTATGGGAATACGCCGGTCTGTCAAGCGGGACGACGCGGGTTCACACCCCAGAAGCGGATTTAGGAGGAGGATGCAGAGGGCGCGCACCCTCCCCTGAGATGGCCTGTGGCTTTCTTATTAAAAAACGTACAGTCCGCTTCACGGTTATACAAAATCTGTAGTATTATTTGATAACTATTCTCAGCCGTTCGCGTGTTATTGCCCAGTCAAAAGCCTTCTTCTTTGTTTCGCTTTTAAAATTTGTTTACGTCAGTTACACCATCTGCTAGTGGTGCACCCCATCCTAAGGAAAATCCCGAATCCCCCCCTGCACCCCGGCCTGACCAACTAGGGTCTAGACCAACTAGGGTCTTTTAAAAACTGGTCAGATCATACTAGCTGTGATTTCAGACCTTGTGTCAGTTCAGATCATCGTGTCGTTTGGCTGATGACGTTAAACCGTTGGCCTTGTCTCTTTCTTCTCTCTTTCATTGACCAAATCAAAGGCGATTTAAAAGAACCCACAAAACTGCCTGAAAAAGGGTAGGGGACGTTTCCCCGGTGGTGCGATCTACCTTGCACACATGCATATCAAGGACTAGGAGGGTTACAGTAATCTCATAAATGGAAAGATAACGGCTGTCAGTGGTGTTTTTCGCTGACGTCCGAGCTTGCTGTTAAACATGTTAACATAATTTCTATGTAAAGAGGACACGTCTGTTGTCCTGTCATCCACTATATTTCATTCATTCACTCATTCATTCGTTCGTTCGGTCGTTTGTTCATTCACTCTGAGAAGAAGAAGAAGAACAAGAAGCCAGGAAAAGAAAAAGAAAATTACTTTTACCTTATGAGTTGACTAAAATGTTCTTTTTCGTTGTTGTTTCCTTATTGTTAATTATAAATAATCTGAATAATACACGTCATGGTGCGAGCTGAGAAGCGGGCAATGTCTATAATATGCCCAGGACTGCCCTACCAGGAGACCATCGAACTAGTGAACATTGTCCCTATATATTGTAAATTTCATCACGGGGCTATGTAGTAATACTTTCGACACCATTATAAAGGACCCTGAACCGCACCGTCTGAACAAGATAATACAATTTAGTGGACCGTCACGTTATGCCCTAAGGTGCAACAGGCGCTTCATCGTACCTAAATGCAAGACAGATCGTTTTAGGAACAGTTTTAGAATTAGATCCTGCATCGATAATATATATACGTAGATTTTTAGTCCTTTTATCATATTTTTTATACTTTTATATTTACTGTACTTAGTTTTATATACACATTTTATCATTTTATCAGTTCAATCATTTGTAAATACGCAATTCAGCCTTCGGGCTGCAATATATTGGTTATTAAACTATCTATCTATCTATCTATCTATCTATCTATCTATCTATCTATCTATCTATCTATCTATCTATCTATCTATCTATCTATCTATCTATCTATCTATCTATCTATCTATCTAGCTAGCTAGCTAGCTATCTATCTATCTATCTATCTATCTATCTATCTGTCTATCTATCTATCTATCTATCTATCTATCTATCTATCTATCTATCTATCTATCTATCTATCTACCTATCTATCTATCTATCTATCTATCTATCTATCTATCTATCTATCTATCTATTATATCTATCTATCTAACTTGTTAAATGTTTGTGAATTTTCCGAGAGTTGAATTCTAAAGGACTGCACTTAAGTTTAAAAAATGAATTGGAAAATCCGGCCTTGTATTGTGTTCACGTCCTCCAGAAAATGTGATATAAGACATGTAGTAGTTGTGCAACGACGGCGAAGAAATGTACAAAAAAGTGTGCTGCACGTGAAAGCTGTTATTTTGCTAATCTAATCCTATTGCCTTTTTTGGTTTCCGTTACCGTCGACGTCGTCGTCGATACCTAAGCTCCCTAAAAGCTTCTCTTAAAAACAATAAAAACTTACTCTTATTCCCACTTTTTGTTTTCCAGCTACTGATCTTCTTCTCGGATCACAGGAAATGATTCCAAAAAAGTAAAATAATGAACGCTTTTATGCACAGGTGAACTTCGCATGAGTCAGTAACAGCGTTGAAAAATCATGAAATGTTCAACACTGGGAGTCATGCCGGGTTCCTGCCTACACCCGCTAGTTATAAGCAATACAAAGGTTACTTAAGTAGATTCAGTTGTGCCACTGGCACTGCCATGGTTATTTGACGTATGCAAAACGTTCCTTTCTTATATCTTAATGAGCTTTGTGTGTGTGTTTTTTTAGCCTGGTTTAGACTGTTCACAGTCCCCTATTTTTCCCTGTGATCGTCGAGATCGAGCGCGTCTTACCGTTAATGGCGGCCATCTTGATTTTCAGTCGTACCGAGGGGGCGGGCGTCGGGGATTATAGCTCTGGCCCTAAGTAGATTTGATACTCTTCCCCAGGTTAGACTCGGTACGACTGAAAATCAAGATGGCCGCCATTAACGGTAAGACGCGCTCGATCTCGACGATCACACGGAAAAATAGGGGACTGTGAACAGTCTAAGCCTGGTTCGGCTGAGTAAATGTTGGCTTTCATACATCAAGATCACAATTTCAAATAAGCAATAGACCACACTTTCTATGGGTTTACCGTCGTGATACCCACTGGGGATGTTGGGAGAACACGAGAAAAGCTTGTAAATCACGAGCCGAAGGCTAGTGATTTAAAAGCTTTCGAGTATAAAATAACTGTAAGTATAAAATAGCTTTAAGGAAAACTATGAGTTTACCGGCACAATAAACTATAGGTTTTTAACCAATCAGAACGCGCGTACTATCTTAGTTATTTTATATAAATATATATGCTGGTGTAAAAATACATTCAGAGTTCTCCTTTCTTGTTAAGACCGCAAGAGTGATTCCTCCCGGGAGGGGGGGGGGTACCCCTGGGATTCTTGGTGGGGGTGTGCCACACAGTTCTTCAAATCCTGACCCGATTTCAGACCAAAAAATGTAATTTTCCACACCCGTTTTCAGACTAGACCTCTAAAATCCATATCCGTTTTCAGACCTGGCTTTTAGGCAGAAATTATGTTTTCATTACATAGATTAGAGCGCAAACAAAAAAATTATTCAAATCTATTTTGAATTCGCATATTTCTCTTTCTTTCCTTACTTATTTGGAATTGAAACAATAAATACGTTCATACACTCCGTAGCTCCCTCAAAAATCATACCCGATTCCAGACCAAAATGGGTAAAGTGTATACCCGTTTTCAGACCAAAACAGCTCAAAAACCCTACCCGATGGGGCGGAACATTCCTATTTGGCTTATTTAAACGAAGAACCCCCCCCCACCCCGATCTCTTTAACAAAAGCCTGTGTGTTTTCTGCACCATTGAGATGAATAGCCATTTTTGCATCGGCATGTCTGTAGCACCGTTAATGCACTTCATACGACAAACCACGGATCATAAGGATGTTTAAACTTTGCTCGATGGACGACACCTAAAACCTTGCATGCCCTCGACGAAAAAAAAAGGGCCACAAAGGAACGCTTTAAGTTTGTGTAAAACAATCTGAGGGCAAGGGTTTTATGAGGTGGCATATCAGTATTTTTCTACACACAAAAACACAAATATTTCAATAACAAAGAGATATGTTAAAAATTGTATGAATGCGAATACATTTTCTGATTTATGGGCAAAATCGTTCTGTTACAAGAGCCTCAGGGTGGCTTGTACAATTTGGAAACGTGGAAAAAATCACGAGCGAACGTTCTCAGTGTTTACTGTTAAGAACGTAGCATGATAAATAACTAATTCAATGATAAGCTTCTTATCTGGAAGATAAGTTTGCTTTTCCAGCACGGAATCACAAATGTGAGCCCTCTAGTTCGTTACTGACCATGGCAAAACTCCTCCGGTCTTTATATGAACTATATCCCCGTATTTATTGGGACCACGGGAGAGTTAGGAATTTCTCCTTTCGTGAGACCTTTCAATATATTTTGAGAGTGGGACATCTCATCTCCAAAGTTGACGTTCCTCGGAATTAAACACTAATTTTTTAACTGACCACTTTTGACTTTCAGCAATTATTAAACTTCCTATCTATGTATCATGTTTTTACATGTTTGAATACGGGAGTTGTCCTTCGTTTACAATTAGGGAGACTTATAAGGCCTCTAAATTTTAGTCTCAAGGATCTAATGAGTAAATTACTTGAAAAATATTTTATTTTACTGAAGATTTTTCTAGAAATTGTCAATGGTCGTTAACCTGTTCCAGACTGAACTATTTAAAAACCTTTGCAAAAGTTTCTTAGCGGAGCTCCCGCGCGCGCGAAGCGCGCGCGCAGTGGAGCACCATGGGTAAGAAAATTTGGTAAACTATCCATCCGAGAAAATTTGGTTATGACGTAGAGTACGCCCACCCGTACACACACTTCATGTAAGCCGATGTCAAATGTTACAATAGATCTTGCACAACTTGACTAGCCTCTTAGTTATGTAAGCCATCCGTATGATTACGATTAGATTGACAGCTGTCAAAATCAGACATCCGCTGACAATTATCACATGAACATCTCGCGGGCTCAGATAAAAGACCAGTCGTTTTACCCCTATATATAAGCTGACATAATATGTCACACTTACCAATTCAACATAAAAACGAAACTGCGCTGGGCAAGGCTGTCAGTTGACTGACAGTCGTCTAAAGTTACATTGGCAAGCCAAATTAAGTTCAATTGACAGCTGTCAAAATGGGACATGTGCAGACCACAATCAGAAAACTAGTAACGTGGGCTCAGGTTCGCTCAGGTACACGATCTGGCATTTTCCACTACATGCTGGACGGATATGTCCTACTCACACTTGTAGTCTGTTAATTCGAATATTCGCCATTCTAATGAAGGTTAATTGACAGCTGTCAAACTAGAGTATACGCTGACCATCATCACCTGAGTGGATCGCGGGCTCATTTTTCTATCCATTGAGGTCACGTAGTGTTTAAAGTTTTGCGCATATATTTTATTTGATCACAGGCTCAATTCGAAGCCCCATAGCTTTATAGAAAATCTGTCCATCCTAGAAAATTCGGCAAGCACGTGACCGTACACCGACCACCCGACCTTCCGTCTGTCCGCACCACAGGCATACCAATGTTTCTGCTGACCAGTATCGCCTGACCATATCGCGGGGTCAGGTATAGACCCTCTGAGTTCGAGTAATTTTTTGAAGGTATCCGCTGACAAGTTGCTACTTTTCAAATGATCGCAGGCTCAAGTTCAATTTTTTTAAAATGCATATGAAATAAGCCGTGTTCATGAGCCGCACTTTTAAAATGTTGATTTCGAACTGACCTCGGACACGAAAATACAACCGGCTTTTACATTTAAATGCAGGGAAGGCAATCGCTTTTGACTTTTTTCACTGTCACGTGTTCATCACGCTCTACGTCCAATTTTTATGTTCTGATTGGTCAAAATTTGACAGGTGAGTTTATGGGGAAAATTCATGCAGCGTCTGGAAACTTGTTTACTGATAGCTGGAGCTGACAGAGTTTTGTGTCATCTTGTGATGTTTTAAACTGTCTTTTTCTACTTGGTGTACAAAATGAAATACAGCTGCTATCAACATTGTTCTGTAATTCGTGGCTGGTTTGCTTATTGCGCTTTTTGTTGACAAATGCACCGCTTGTTAAAGTCATTGGAAATCCGATTTCGGATGGCATCGTTTTCAAAAATGAGCTTACTCACTTGAGGCGTAAGAGGGTTGAAAAGTCTCAAGCGATTCTGGAACACTTGAAGACCTTCAGAAGCAGCATCTCGACTGGTAAGCCTGAGCAATTATTGTCTTTGATGTGTTTTTTTTTCGGTTTCCTGAAGTCGAGCGTATGGTTTATGCGGCTTAAGTTTATACACGAGCAATTATCTAACCTACGATAGTATCAGGTTTAAAAAGCCTTTAGACACTTTTTGACCCTCAAATTCAAAGAAAAGGTTCCGAAGATTATTTAGTTATGATTTTGGCAGTAAACAGAAATCTCTGGTGGATTTTCTTGCCTCGAGTTCATCTTGAAAAAGAGGAAACACCGGGAAGCCGGCTTAAAACATAAATAAGCTTATGCTTACCTGACTCATGATTTTCTGAGACACTTTACTCTCAATACTTCTCTTCGTGAATGAAAATTATTGTCTCTGTACATGTTTCACCGAATTAAATTTATTTTATTGATTGTTAGTAGTCCCTCTCGCAATTTTTATCGCTGCACCGGTTTTTTTTTTTAATTTCCAGTCGAACATAAACATCGCATGCAAGAATACTCAAAACGCCGCGCGTAAATATCACTCGCTTTTAAAGATTACACGTAAAAAAATCATGCACAGTTTAATGAATAAAGGGAAGTAAAACCTAAACATAACAATTTCTCTATCATGTTGAAGCGTGAATGGTAACTCTATTAATCGCACTGCGAATTTGGTGCCTGTCAAAAGTGAGAACCCGTCCGGCTGGCCGAAAAGTGATTTTGGGAATTTTTTTTATCGTTTTCATTAAAAGCCCATAATTATTACCCTGCATATCTAGGACCAGATTTTTCTAACTGAAAAGTCCCGGCATTATAGAATTCTTTTCATGAAAACGTTTTACAATTCAATGCTATAATTTGTTGTGCAAACGAAGCGCGTGCTTTGATCGTCGTGGATATTGAATGAGTGCAAATTCTCTTGCAAAATTGTGAAAAACTGCAGAATTATAGGTTTAAATAGAGCAAAAAAGAACAAATTCTGTCCGAGGTCTTTATGATAAAAAAAGGGCCTCATAGTACTGTTTACCTGAGACGTGATGAGAAAAAGTACGTTTAAAAGGCTGGTTTACACGCCACCAGATTCGTCGCCAAGATTTACTAGTAAACTAAACTTGTCCAACACAAAAAATCCGGCCTGATTTTTTTATTTTGGCCTCCCTTTTAGACAAAGGAATGCAACTTGTAAATTGGCTGCCACCAAGGACTATCGTGGCGCGTGTGTTTCTTAAAATTATAATTCGAGGTTATTCAATTATCCATAGTCTCTCTAACGGAGCAATGTTGGTGAGACTAGTGAATGCCACATTATGATGCAACAGCTAATGCAAATACAATACACGAATAGGTCTATTTGTTTTCCAGGCCTAATCTACTGTGATTGAACGTGATTGCTATTTTTCGGTGTACAAATAAGACTATTTAATAACTCGACGTAAAATTTGTTGCACTCTTGGACGGTCAAATTCTGATTTTTCTCTAAAATCACTCCGCCTTTGCCTCAAAAGTCAAATGAATGTGCCCTGATCTGTGGATTACAATTGCAAGTTTATTGTTTGATTTAAATTATGAATTTATTAACGGGAGCTTCGCTTTTAGCCCTGGCTAAATCTATATATTAGCCCTAGAATTAATGACTTGTCAGCAAGTAATTGGAACCTACTTATCACAATAAAGAAAAACATATTATTCTGCATAAGCAAGCGAGTAAAAGAGAGGGCTACTAAGTAGAAATAGTTGGAAAGAGAAGAAGGTAAGATCAGAAGAACAGAACAGATCAGAAGATTAAAGAAAGTCCAAACTATAAGATGAACAAAGAAGAACAGAAAAACTCAGAAAGAAGTTAAGTCGATTTTAGCTTTGTGCAAAAGTAACTGTAGTAACGTCCAAATAAGATTAAAAGACCATTGTTAAGCTCAATATTTGACTGTGCTGGCCCTCCTGAATGTTGTCACTCCCGTAACACTGGCGAATAGACTTCACGCTTTCGTTACACTGGTGCCCAAATTAGTCATTCTTCAGGACACGCCGATTTTTCCTGCGGAAGAGTTTGGTATGATCCTGCCCGTCTTTAGTATCTTTGCAAGACTTGCTTTTTAATCCCTTCCAGATGCCAAAAGTTTTTACATGTTTTGATCGTCCCTTTTGAATGTTACGAACTTGAAGTAAAGTCATTATTGCTCTCTCTAGCCAATATAAAGATTGTTATAAGGCACGCAAAGGAGAGGACCTTTGGGTGCATCCCTCGGGACATGGCACCTTCCCCAAGCGACTGTGGACTTTTGAATAAAGAACACGTCAACAGCAAACACTTAAATGACCTTTAACAATTGAGTCTTGAGCCATTACTCTACTTACGCGTTTGGCGTAATTTAATCATGTAAAAGCCTAAACTTTTTGTTTAGCTTAATTTAACTTGTGTGTTATGTCATGCGTGCGTTGGAATTGAATTCTAACAAGAGCCATAATGGGACCTGTCCCATTATGACTCTTGATTCTAACATGTCTTATAATATATGTATAAAGAAGTGCTACGTTTCGGCTGGGGCACCCTTTAATACAGAATGATTACTTTAAAAATACATTGGAAAATTTTAAAACACGCGTGGACGCTAAATTAGCGTGTCATTTAACAGGTTCTCGGAGACTTATTTCTCTCTCGAATCAGAGACAAGAAATGATTTTGACCTTCTAATGGTGCAGTCGCTCATCATTTCGCGGAAACCAAAGCCTCAATGAATCTTTGCATTCTCGATAGAACTTGTCGAAGAATAGGTGTCAGTGTCTAAAGATCATCTTACTGTTTTGCGTGAGGTAAATGGGTTGAATGCAGAATGTTCTGATGCGTCAGTCGAAAGAGTATTTCAAAGCAGTAGTGAATCTGGCCAGCCGTAATAGGAAATCAGTTGATCCCACTATTAAAAGCAAGACATAGCAAAATTATTGATATCACTCAAAATCAGTATCCAGTCAATCAATAAAAACTTTCATTAAATATTCTCCGATCGGCCTCGGAAGGTGTGGTAAAGGCTATGAAACGACCAATGCCCATGCATAGAAAGGGAACGCCCCACACACAGCATAGGCCAGTGGCAGGCTTGGCTATAATAATCCCAAAAAATCGCCCAAAACTTCTATCCCGATAATCTGCCAAAATGTTTTCAAAAGATTGCAAAAAGGCTCTAAAAATGTTACGTTTTTTTGTTCTAAAAATCTCAAGACTTTGCCGAAAACCAAAATATTTTAAAAAACCCTCATAACTTAAACAAGATGCCTACATAAAACTCATTATATCGTGTCACTAGCGTTTTTTTTCGGTACCTAATGGCAACATAATTGTAAGATACACGATTAATGGCAAAACCCTTGTACTTGACACCGCGAGGGCTAATGCATGACTCTGGTCACTCTTTTATACTATTTATAGCTTTATAAGCGCATATGCTTTTGATTTCTTAAAAGCGGCAGCAAAAACATTATCCATTATTTCAATCACTAAAGCTTTTCTACGCTTTTTACAGCGATTTTTTTAAGTTTTAAATTCATCTAAATGATCTTGAGACTTTCTAAAAATCTAAAAAAATCCGATTTCTGTTGCTAAGCCGGCCTACTCCAACAAAAGTGTGGTATTTACAAATAATTGTTAGTAACTGCAATCAAAGGTAATTGAACTATGCATTTTGAGGTAAAATAAAACGAGACAAAAAGGGTATTAACTTGTGGTAATATTAATTGACAGTTTATCATTTTGACCGCGTATTTAGCTGTCTTTCTCGCCACTGGAAAAAGATCTCAAAAAATTGAGGGTTTTTTGTAAAATTGTAACGTCATACTGAGGGCGACTTGAGCCATCGGTTTGAATTTGTTTCAGCCATAGCAAGCCATCTAGAGTGTATCATCATCTTCGCTTATAATTACCCGTCACAAGTTGAGCTTTGACCACATTTCGGATAAAATACTTATTAAAGAGATTCAGAGTCACGACAAACTCAAGTTGAGAATTTCTCAAAATAGAAAAAAAGCACATCACGTAAAAACAGCTCATAACAATTCTTATGTGACTTATGGATGAAACGGACGTGAGACTACTTATTTTATTTATTTATTTATTTTTCTTTTGTAGAAGCAATTAATACTAAAAGACACTGGGTTAAGGGAAAATTTGATCACGTGGTACAAATTTACGTTTGCCGTTTGGCGTCAACGTGACTTTAAATCTCTCTATTGCTGATTACAAATCTGGGTAAAACTTTTGAATTTATTCTCAGTTAGGTGAATAATATTCCTTGTTTATAACGTTGATCAAGTTTCATGGCACAAAGAAAAAAACCTTATTAAGAGAGTTAAACGATCTTTGACCTCCCACTATGCAGAAAATTTTGAGAATCAAGCTAAGAGGAACTGACCCCAAATTTTCGCGTCTCCCTATCGCTCGCGGAGGGCAGTCCAAATAAAATAGGGAGCTTGCTGACGAGCAAAAAATAATTAAGACTAAGGATTGGTGAACGGCAATAAATGTTTGATGTCACTCAATAAACTTGAAGCTAGTGTTTTGAGTTTATGATGGGATCCTGTTCTGTTCTGTTTTTATCATATTGTTATTATTGATTTATTATTTTTTTACAAATTCATTTACTTCTTTTATTCATTTACTGTAACTACAATCATGGACAAAAGTCTGGGACACTTCTGCGTTTCTGGTGCGTTTTCCAATTCACACAGGTCCAACCCCTCCCCTCACCCCACAAACAATGTTGGACGCGTGTGTCCAGAATTGTTTCCGAGTTTTAACTTTGTATAGGGCGGGGGGAGAGAGAACTACAAGAAAATTTCGAAAAGGATGCACTGTTTTAAGAGGGAACCAAGAAATGACAGAAAAATATGAATACTGCAGTTCTGTTCCAAGGACTTT